ATTCAGTCTCACACCGGAAAACATATTAATAAACATCCCTGTGTGGGAAGTATTCCCAGTCCTTGGGAATGTTGTGTTTGTCCAAATAATCTAAATCCAACAAACACATGCTGCAGTCACTCAGGCTGGAGAACAGAGGGTTCTGGTCCAAATACAGTGATATAAAAACAACGTAAAGAATTTCATAGAATGGTCTTTTTTTTAGATGTCCCCATGATTTGTTGTTAATTTTAAAAAGAAGAAAATTCAGAGGTTTCCTCGTGTGGATTTACCGATGCAGGCGCTGTGATGTTGGATGAAGCCGGCAGGACATTTGCAGGTGAAGCCACCGATGGTGTTGACACATAGGAACTGACAGTTATGCTGCTTGGTGGAGCACTCGTCTAGATCTGAAAATGAAAAAAAGTTCAAATCAGTTTCCACAGCCACGATTCGTCTTTTTTGTATTTCACAAACATCATCTGGAGACGGGTACGGACGGACCAGGTGGATGTCGCTCTACAATGACCTTAACATGGACGATATGTTCAGAACACGGTGCTGAATTGCTAATCTGATTATTACTAATTATTAATCCGAGATTTAACCTTTGCAGCTCTTTCCATCTTCCTGCAGGATGTACCCTCGGGGGCAGGAGCACTGGTATCCTCCGTCTGTGTTTTTACAGATGAAGTTACAAGGCTTTGGTGCCTGGGCGCACTCGTCCACATCTAGAGGGAGGAGGTCGGGGGCGGGGGGACAGAGACAGAAAGACAGAGAGAGAGAGAGAGAGAGAGAGAGAGTCAGTGTGGTACTGTATCCTGAATTTCCAGGCTGTAGATAATAAAGCAGACAGACCATGTCGGCATTTTTCAGAGTGTTTGTGTGTGTGTGTGGTCAGTCCACCCACACACCCCCCGCTCTTTACTAGACAGCAGGGATGACCCTGGGAGGATGAGCACGCCGGGGTAAAAGTCAGTAAGCTCCCGTTCAGTCTTACCCACACACTGTGTGCTGGTGATGTCCAGGGTGTAGCCGGGTTTACAGATGCAGCTGTAGGAGCCCAGGGTGTTCAGACACTGACCGTTGTCGCACAGGTTCCCCATCACACGACACTCATCGATGTCTGGTCAGAAACACAACGTTGACATTTACAGACACGCAGTAGAAACTTCAGTAAGTGTAATCAAAGTCTGGGCCTCGTCACTACTGGTGCACCTTACTAGGCTTCATTTGGTCACATCTTAATTCATTCATTCAGGGCAGAATTAGAAATATATTTTAATATAAAATAATTCCAAAGACCATTAAATACTTTTTAGGGCATTTGTATTAGCTTAGCTTAAATTAGCTTTTGGCTTCTTCAAAAACTGAGTAACCATCAGTTAAATTCCTGTTGAACATGTAGGTATATTAACAAGCTACTATTACATCTTCAATAAATGTTCTGGGTAACTGAGTAACCTACTTGTAGGTATATTAACAAGCTACTATTACTATTGATACATTTTGGCTATATCATAGTATAAGTGCCCACTAGGTGGGGATGTCCGATATTACCAGCATATATTAGCATAATTGTGTAATATCTGTAAGCGTCGTTATTGGGGGTGTTTTTTTTTTCGGAAAATGAAAACCTGATAACACAATGCCTGGGTTTCCTCAAATGATGTGTGCACTAAAAATAGTTTTGGGGTAAAACAGCTGTATATGACCGTGAAAGCCACTAGACGGCAGCATTGTAGCTTATTTAATTAATCTATTTTAATAATCAGTGGATTGCATGGAGAATGCTGGTGCCAGGAACTGATACAGCGGTTTGTACAGATAAATAAATAAATATTACCAGGCCTATATTGGAATGGGTTGATATCGGGGAGCTCAGTTTTGAAATACCTCTGCCGTCAGTGGTGTAGCCGGGTCCAAGAGGACACATCTTCTTATAGTGGGTGGTCCCAGGCAGGGGGCAGAGCTCACAGTTGTTGCCCCAGCCTCTGCCTCCATCGCAGCAGCACTCCGACTTGGTCACCATGTTCCTGTTACTGGAACTCATCTGACACAGGGTGGTCAGGACCTCAGTGAAGCAGAAGCCTTCACGGTTATCTGGACGGGGTGAGGAGGAGAGACGGAGACGGGAGTGAAAACACACACCGACCACAGACAGAGCCGGAGCTCAGGGAAGCAGACGGTGCAGATAACCCACATGTGCTCTATCACTGCAGTCTGTGAGGAGTCAGAACCTACAAAGAGTTCTGGTGGTGCTGTCAGCCACCTCTCATCATGTCTACCCACACGTTTAGGAGGCCAGACGGGCACCTCTGGAAAAAGTTCTCTTTATCTTCACACTTACTGACAACTACTCTTTAACAAGACGGTTGTTTTTTTAATTTAAATTGTTAATAAGGAAACGCTGCCACTTTCAAGGATATTTCATATTAGTACGTACCGATGCATTCAGTCTGCGTGGGGTTGGCCACGAAACCTTGGTCACATTTGCAGCGGAAGCTTCCCAGGGTGTTCTCACAGCGGCCGTTCTTACAGATGCCTGGTTTGGCTGTGCACTCGTTGAAGTCTGAAACACAATGAGATACGATGTCAAGAGAAACTGAATAAAAATAAAATAATATTCAGGATAAAATATAAGGTGAAAAGATAAACAGTAAAATAATTAAAAACTACAGCAAAGAGGGATAATATATATATATATTTATATTTTTTACTTTTTATGTATACACATATATAAATATAATCAAATGTATATAAATATATCTACATACACATATACCATCCCACAGTCTTGTTGTAAGATTCCCTCATATTTAAACCATTGCTGTTTTATTTAAATAGCAATAATAACATTCTTATTTATAATGGTAATATTACTGTTTTATTTATAAACTGATATGGATGTGCGAATTTTCAGTTATGTATCACAAAACCCCTTAAGGTTGGGTTGTAGAGCGTCTTGTGCTCCAGTGTGAGGTGACACACTGTTAAAGATGATTGGACAATCTTACCGGTACAACTGTCTCCGCCGGGCTGCCGTGTGTATCCCAGTGGACAAATACACATGTAGGTACCGATCAGGTTCTTGCAGCTCATGCCTCTGCTGGCACAGTCATCCAAACCATCGTCACACTCATTCTGGTCTGGAAGGAACAAGACGTCAGACAGCGACAGTGAGAGGCTGCACCAGTGTGTAGTATTACAGTATGTGCGGCCATTACTAAGGTCATACTGTACAGTACTGACTGAGCACAGTATATCCAGCCCTACTCTGTTTCAGAGTCTGAGTGCTGCAGGGTTACTGGTCTGTTTAAAGCTATAATGTAAACAGTGATGCTATGGACACTTTGTTTTTCCTCCTGTCTCTGCACTCCCCTCCAAACACGTCCGTCAGCGTGGCCCCCGCACCACCAGGAGTGCGGAGGTGTAAATAGTGATTTAGCCTGTTATAGTTTCCAAAGAATGTTTAAAGTTAAAAAAAAAAAACTTGAGAGAGATGGTGTTATGTAACCGACTCAGACGGAGTCAGAATGTCTGAAGAGTGGAATTCACTTTGGTGAATGAGAAATGAAACCAATGAGAAAACACAACCATCACGATGTTCAACGACGATGTAACAGGTTTAACTACATTTTAGAAATATGTGTTAACATTCTGTCGAATTTGACCCTGGATGACCCTAAAAGACACGGTCCAAATACCTACAGTGAGTAACAGTGGGGTTTGTGATGTAGCTGTGACTCACGTGTGACACTTGACCTTATTGACCTTCCTGTGGTCCTGAGACTGTAACATGTAACTCTGTGTGATTTTAGCAGCTCTTAATAATCACCTAGCCTTCCCATGACCCACAATCCTGGACTTTTATGAAGTCAAAAATGACCTGCAGTTTTTTTTATTTATTATTAAAAATTAATTTTGGTTTTCTATATTCAGCTGAAAGTTATCAAAGAGAAAGGATGCATCCACGTCTGCCTAAGATTTTTTTCACAGCTGTTATTTAAAGTCCAAGTTGGTCTCACCTTTACACATCCTCTTGTCGTCACGCAGCACGTAGCCAGTTGGACATTTACACTCGTATGATCCAAACACGTTTACGCAGCGGAAGGCGCACAGCAGAGGGTTCTGGGCACACTCGTTGATGTCTGGAACAGAGGGCAAAGGTCACTGTGATGCAAAAGAACGACTAATCATACACACACAGCGTCACACACCTTCGCAGCTCATCATCGGCCCAGGCTCAAATCCGTCGTCACATGCACACTCGAACCCACCGATGACATTAGTGCACGTGCCGTTGCCACAAGGATTTCCAATGTCACACTCATCGGTGTCTGTGTCGGAGAACAACAGAAAAAAAACAAAACTCCTGTTAAAGAGGAAGAACGTGTGGAAGTGAAGCTGTGAGAGAACCTACCTTCACATTTGACCCCACTAATGTCCAGCCGGTATCCCATGGGACATTCACAGCGGAAAGAGCCGTCAGTGTTGATGCACTGGCCGTTGATACAGGGGTTATTGATGCACTCATCGATATCTGCAATGAAGGAATGTCACTCTGTTTGTTGGTTTGAAAACTAGTATTTATTTAGGAAAAAAATACATTTGTCATGGTTTGTTTATGTGGCAGTGACTGGTAGAACAATCTGCCACTAGGTGGTAGCAAAGGGCTGTAAAACTAAAATAAGAGGTTTCTTAGGAGCTGCTAAAAAGATCTTTTGTGTGTATTTTCTCAATTCCTGCGACGGCATCAGGGTTGTGTTCAACTAAACAGGCACAGGTTTTACACTGACTGAGTAAATTAAAGTATTAGATCAATATATTTCATTACATTTACTCTTTTTTTTGCAGCAATTGAGACTTTCGTTTTTCTTCATGTTATGCAACTAGCAGTTATGTGAACTCATACAAACCTTTAGGATGGTCTTTGCCCTGCTCGTATCCTACTTTAGGACACAGTGAAGTGTAGCCCTCTAGGAACAAGGAAACAAGGAGATTCAGCCACCACGTGATAATGTAGACATTTTTATATTTCTGTTTAAGATGTGACTGTAATACCTTGTCCTTTGATAGGGCAGATTTCACAGGGGTCTCCCCAGCCTTGACCTGGTATTCCAGTGCAGCAGCACTCTGCCTTAGAAGTATTCTGAGGCTTTGGTGCTAGACAGCGGCCGCTATCAAATTTGGTGTAACAGTAGTTCACACGAACATCTAGAGGTGAACACAAACAGGAAGAGGAGAAACGGTGAGAATGACAAAAACAAAAGGAATGTAAGCTGGAAGAGAAACAACATCTGCTTCACCTGCACTTCTCTCAAAGGGACAGAATAGACAACTGATCGTATTTTCCAGGACATTTAAAACTGCTATAGTGACTAATTCCCCATTGATTTATCAAGGCAGTGGACCCATTCTTCTGATCAGAGTTTGGTAGACTGCAAAAACGGTAACACATTCACAGCTTTTGCTGCAAAACAAAACCAAAGTTGATTGTAAACACTGTGGATGTGTGTGTGCCGTGAGCGATTGTCGAAAATTATTAAATTTCAATTAATTGGTCCGAAAACGATTATTTATTACAAATGATTTTTTTTTTGTTTGCCAATGCATGACAGGCAGAACAATTAAATACTCTTCGCTAGGTGGCAGCAGATGGTTATTAAAACTAAAAAAAATCATCAGAGCTGTTGAAGAAGATCTTTGTGAGTGTCTTTCTTCAATTCCTCCCAGTATATCAGCGTTGCCTTCAACTAAACAGGCCGGGATCTTAGTCAATTATGAGGTTATTATATTTCATATATAATATATATTTCATTACATATATTTTCTGTGAGAATTTTGTTTCGTAGTGTGCTCTGAGGTTTTTCCTGATGATAAATATGTGCTGTGGTTTAAAAAGGATGGGAACCATTGCACTAAGGCATTAACACATTACATAATAGTTACATGCTAGTTACATGCTAGTTAGCGTGTACACACATTGACCTTAAGACACCTGATCAATCTATGTTTCCATAATTCCAAACATAATGATGAACATAGTGATGGGTGAATGATGTGAGCACTGGTGCTCACATCATTCACCCATCGGTAGTCTCTCTATCAGTCTCTCTCTCTCTGCCTGCTTCACAGCACTGATCCTCCTGGACCAGACAAGAACTTCCTCATAATAAGAAGCACATGTTGATGTGGTCCAGCCTTCCTGCCAGCACTGGCCTTCACCACACAAACACAAAGCCTTCTGACCACTATAGATCAAACTGTGCTGCACACACCGTCCACAGCTGGCACTGTGGCGCTCGCATACATGAACAACAGCTGAGGATGTCGGAAAACTGTTACTTTTCCTGCACAGAACAGATTAGTCAGCTTTCTGCAGCAGGGATTGGTGGGGTGTTCTGCACAGATGTTGAGCGTGTGTGTTTTAGTGCATACACATGTGCATGTGCACGTGTACACGTCCTTCCTAATTTGTAGTTTTCTCAGTGAAATGTAGCAAATGGTACAACTGTTGAAATCAACCAACTTCCAAAATGGATACATCACCAGTTCCCTTGACATTTATAGTGACGTGTATATCCATCTGATATATACAGTATGCGTATATATGTATATACTTATATACAGTTTAGCACAGTAGAATAATGTGTGTTCCAGAACATATGGCTGACGGTGCGGCATAAAAAAGCAGATTAAACAAAAACTGGATTTCAGTCTCTTCTATCCCCTTCTTGGCTAAATTAATAGCTATTTTTGTATGTACTGTAGCCATTGGTCAACACTGGGCCACTGACTGTCCCACTGTGAGAACTGTGTGATGGTAATAACTATATTTTGTATGAATTATATTGTTTACATATAGTATAGTATAGTAAGTGCATATTAAATCAGACCGTTGGACTGATTGACAGTAGGTATTAGATTTGCGTCTTCACAGACAACAGAGTGCAGTACCATGTTTTCAACACTCATTCACCACATGATATTTATTGAGGCGCTGTTTTACGCATCATAAAACGCCATCGAGAGAGGAAGAGAGAGGGCAATGTTTTTAATAAATGACAGTTATATTCCCTTCCCTTTGCCCTGCCCTCCACGGCAATGTTTTTAATAAATGACGGTTAGATTCCCTTCCCTTTGCCCTGCCCTCCACCACCACCCTAAAGTCCTGTGGGAAACACTGCGGCTACTACTGCTGATAAAATAGGTTTAATAATAATAACACATCTGTCTAAATACTCAACAAAAATAAGAGTTCATTATTAATGGTGTAACAACAGTGAAGCATCAACGTGTTTTTAAGATAGATTCTCCTGGAGAAATACTTTTTCACCCTCCATGTTCACTCTTCATTCCCGGCTCCTCCTGTTTATCCCCCAACACTCAGTGCAGCTGTTCTGACACTTGAACTGTCCTGTTCTCTACCTCACTGAACTGGTGATGTCATGGCTTCAGTGTTTGAAGGGGGAACACCCTAACAGAGGACACTGGAGGCCCCCACCCTAACACAGACACACATATCCACAAAACCACGTACACACAAGCCAGGAAATGGGAAAAAGTGACATTTTTCGGAACCACACGTGGTCGGGTCGAGGCCACGGTGACAACAGAGCCACCCTGAAGTGAGTGGGAAATGGTAAAAGAGCCTGAAAATTAAGTAAGAAAAATAACAAAGACTGATGTAAGAACACACCCAAACAACAGAGAGATGAACTTTTTGTACTGATTTGTTTTTTAGCTGGGTTCTCTCTTTCACACACTCCGCATTAGTGAAGTATTGAGGCATCGTGAATTGATTAAAATTGATTAAAAATCAATAAAAATCTGTTACAATTCACATCGTTTGAAATAAAAAATGAATCAAGCATCAAGGCGTAAGCAGTAGGCTGTGTTATCGCAAAAGGTCACTGGTCATACCATGACACTACACACTCTAGGACAGTAGGTGGTGGTATGTGCCTCAAAATATCGTATCGCGAACAACAAGAAGAAATCATACAGTATCGTGAGTTGAGTGTATCGTTACATCCTACTCCACATTGAATACTCACCCAAACATCTGAGTCCGGAGGACGAGATCTGAAAGCCTTCAGGACATATGCAGGTGAAACTTCCCTCTGTGTTCGAGCAGGTTCCAAATGTACAGATCTCAGGTAACTGGGAACACTCGTCAATATCTGACACACAGACAGGAACCTCATCAGACTGACTGTACACAAGGTTAATGGACCTGAACTCAGGCTACTAAAGTGGATCATATTCTCTTAATGTCTCAGAAATCAGGTGTGTGTATAGAACTGTCAATATAAATTTGTACATCATTAGTAGAAAGACACACAGCCTCAGACAGCCAAGACATATTTCCTAATAAAGTGATTTTGGGTTTTGTTTTTTTTTTGTATTTTTTTTTTAAATTGGTCCCGGTTTATTTTCAGATGTTCTTTGGTTTTTGTTCCCATCTGCGGTCCCGGTTTATTTATGTTCTTTGGTTTTTGTTCCCATCTGCAGCTGCTGGAACAGGTGAATCTCCCTCCCAGGTCCAGTCGACTGTTCCTCCTTCTTCTTCTACTAACTTTTTGTGGATCAGGGTTTGAATGAAGTAATGTCAAACATGAAGTTGCATCAGCCTACTGTGGCCTATTCAAATATGCAGCCTAGTTGAGGGGTGGGTGGATGTTGGTGTGTTATTTGTGTAAGCCTCTCTGTCATGTACAGTTGGGCCATTACAATGACCAGCTGCTATCACTAATGCTAAACACGCCGTGCTGTTCCACTCTGCTTCCAGGAATCAGGGAGGTGTTGAAGTCTGCTGAATATCTCTTCATCAGCCTCTCTGTATAAACAAGCTAAGTGTTCTGGCCTGAAATATTTGGGACTGAACCCACTCAAATGCGTAGAAGGAAAGAAAGCTTGAACTCCAGCAGCGGGACTGAGTTCGTCCTCTTCTATCCTGCTCAGTGTTGACGGGCTCAGTCGTGTTCTGGTCAGAAATGAGTGTGTGCGTGTGTTTGCTGTGATGTAGCAGTGGCTTCTGTTGTCAGGTGTAATAACTCATCGGTCAGGGGGTGTTGTACCTTCACAGGTTTCCTCATGGAGATAGTATCCAGCTGGGCAGATACATCTGTAGGACCCATCCATGTTCAGACAGGTCCCCGCCCCACATGTTCCTGGGTTCACTGCACATTCATTAATATCTGAAAGAAAACAAGAGTGGATGTGGGATTAATTCGCAGCTGTCAAACTCATTTTGGTTCAGGGGCCACATACAGCCTGATTAGATTAACATAATTACATATAAATAATAAATCCATGTTTCCCCCCTTTGGTTTCATGCAAATAAGTACAGGTATATTAGAAAACCTTCATATTTAATAAAATATAATCTTCAAATGGGCCGGATTGAATACCCTTGCGGGCCGGTTTTGGTCTGCGGGCCGTATGTTGTGAACACATTAACTAATCCTGCATGTTTCTGTACTGCTGAAGTAAACTGGAGTGCTTAGAAAAAAACCCCACCCTAACAGGAAGAAGGGGAGAACTGCGTAGAGGAAGACCATCAGTTATCAGCAAGAATCAAACTGCTGACCTTCTTGCTGTAAGGCAGTGGTTCCCAACCCTTCTAAACCCAAAAATTAACAAATGTACTGAGATATTAGATATCAGCTGAAAATAAAAAAGCGGTATGTTTCTTACCTGTGCACATTCTGCCGTCTAGACTTAGTTCATATCCATCAAGGCACACACACAGGAAGTTGCCCACTGTGTTCACACACTGGCCATGTCGACACAGGGCCCTCTGTGTTAAACACTCATCCACATCTGATGAACATAAAACCACCACAAACAGTGATCATGAAGACTTTTACCAAGTAGAAAACAACAGGGTCACGAGAAGAAATTAACTTGGAACAAACACGCAAAACAGAATGTGGGAGCAAAAACAAAAGGCCGATAAAGTGGTCAAGTTGAAAAAAAAAGAAAAGAAAAAAAACTCCTCCAGCATGTGGCCCAGAAATGCACGCACCGACACAATCCCGGTTCTCGGAGTTCTGGAAACCAGGATAGCAGAGACAGTTGTAAGAACCCACTGTGTTCTTGCAGGTTCCGTTGCCACAGGGCTGTCTCTCACACTCGTCCACATCTGGAACCATAGAGCAGGGGCGTCAAACTCAAATTCACAGTGGGCCAAAATAAAAACTGGGACAAAGTATCAGGCAAAACTTAATATTTATTCAAAAATTGACTGGAAATGTTCATGTTTCCCCTTCTCTCCAGATCTGTAATGTAGAATATTTTCAAAGGTAAACAAACTGTAGTTTTGTGTAAACATTTAATCTGGAACAACCAGAGGTTAATATTATAAACATGAGAAATTAAAATTGAAATAAAGTTGTATTTGTTTCTCATTATGTCTCTTTATCTGCAGCCTTTCCAGTTCATTTTTAATGTAAATCTTTTTTTCACAGAATGTATGCTATAACATGGCGCATTCACCACTAATACTACTAATCCTGTAGGTATATAGGGGTTATATACTGGTGGACCAACTTTAGTACACAATTGATATGGTCTTGCGGGCCAAATATAATTACGCTGCGGGCCAGATTTGGCCCCCGGGCCTGAGTTTGCCATAAAACGTGATCAAAGTTTCTCTTAAAGTGTAAAAAAAAGATCAAACTGACCAACACACATGGACAGGTCCCGTGTTGGTTTGAAGCCATTGGGGCAAGTACAGCGATAACTGCCCAGTGTGTCAATGCACTGACCAGGATTACATACACCGGGGTTCTCCAAGCATTCGTCCCGGTCTGAGGGAAGAGAAAAGCAGAGGACAATGAACACAAACTATAATGCACACAGTGCCGTTGACGACTGAGTTACAAAATGGTCGGGCTGCAACATTACTGTAGTACAAAGAAGTAGCAGTGATCCCCACTGTAGTCTTACCTACACACTGTCCAGTGGGAGTGAAACGATACCCAGGTTTACACTCACACCTGTAGCTTCCTGGCATGTTCAGACAGGCAGCGTTGTTCTGACACACAGGTCCATTCTGACACTCATCGATATCTGTCCAGGTCGGTGGGAGACACGGTCGGAGACGGTCAGTACGAATGCAAACAATTTATATGACGAGCAGTCACACGTCGATGTCGTCACGTTTACGTCTCACCTTCACAAATCAACAGCTTGTCGTTGTAGATGAACCCGATGGGACACTCGCACCTAAAGCTTCCGATCATATTGATGCACACACCGTTCTCACAGATTCCTGGGATTTCTCTGCACTCATCGATATCTGTCGAGAACTCTTAAGCTTAATGTTAGCTTACAGGTAGCATACAGTTTAAAGTTCTGCAAACAACTGCTTTAAAATGTGTAGAAATGATCCAAACGACTTCAGGTTACAGACACCCTTTGTATGTTAAAAGGTCGTAGAAATGATCCAAATGACTTCAGGTTACAGACACCCTTTGTATGGTAACACTCACCGACGACACGTCCAGTGGTGATGTCAATGTAGTATCCTGGCCTCTCAATGCCGCACAGGTTCGTGAACTCGTCTGGAGGAACGACAACACGAGGGTGTATTATAAGTTTCTCACAGTATGGGTTGTGTGGTCAGGAGAACTCACCAGTGCTGGGCACCGGACACTGTTCACAGGGCTTGTTCCAAGCGCGGCCAATGTTGTAGGAGCAGCAGCACATCTTCTGGGTCATGTTGAAGGTCAGCTCGCCGTCACATGTTCTGTTGTCGGAGTAGAAGTTCCTGTAACAGTAGCTCTTCCTCATGTCTTCATGAAGTAACACAGAAAGAAGGTTAGCAGTCAGGTGTCAGTCTTCAGACTGTTGGTTGGTCATCACAGGCGTAGAGAACACAGGCGGCCGACTCACCCATGCAGTTGTTACCCCCGTTCACCTGCATGTAGTCCACAGGGCAAATACAGGTGTAGTTTCCGATGGTGTTGTAACACACGCCTGGTCCACAGATACCCGGCTGTTCACACTCATTGATGTCTGTGAACACAGACCATGGAGTATTCAGAGGGTATAATACAGCAATATGTATGTTCACATATATGTGATTAACACTATTTGGTCAAAGTAATCTGATTAGAATAGTTGGATGGAAGAATGGATGAATGAATGGATGGATGAATGAATGGATGGACGATACGTGTATATGTGAAAGTGACTTTAAAGTATCTGCATCTTTGTCCTGGACTAAATTGAAACTGGATTATTTACCAAATTGTGGTCAGTTTTCTGTTTTAACTATTTTGCTTCAGTTACGACCAGGACATTCTTAAAAAAGAAACTCTGAATCTAAAAGGGATTATTCCAGGTGATATTTTTTTTTATCCTGAGCCACATTTTAATTAGCGTCTCTTCTCTTCACAACAGCTTTTGTTTTTAATAATTTCTACACCTGGAGCTCTACACCAACATCACCACCACATGGTATTTGTTCCTCTTGTCCGGCGTGCAGCTGGACGGCTGATTACCAAGACCTAATGGATACACGGTGTCGGCTCCACAGAACAAACACCCGGCCTTTGTTCCTCTGGCCAAAAGACACAAACTCATTAAAATGCCTCCAGCCACATGTCAGTGTCTAACCTCCCCCGCCCCTTCTCTCATCTAATGTATTTCAAATCTTTCTTTCCTTTCTGATGTCGGGCCATGTGACTCCGGACGAATGTCGGCATTATCACTGTCCTACGACAGACAGGAAGTAGCTAGGATTGTGCATAACGAGCTAGAGCGTGGTTAGATGTTTTTAAAAGGATAAGTAAGAGAAAATACAGACACATATATAAATATATACTACATATACACACACACACACACACGTGTATATGTGTGTGTAAAAAAAAAGTTCTTATCACAGCAGAACTCCACAGTGGACAGAAAAAGTCTCAGCAATTCCAGACTGTCTGCTTCAGGGAGGTGTGTGTGTGTGTGTGTGTCCTACCTTCACACACTCTGCTCTCTTGGTTGAGGGAGTATCCTTTATCACATTCACACTGGAAGCTGCCAAACGTGTTGATGCAGTGACCACCCTGGCAGACGCCCGGCAAGTCTAGGCATTCATTGATGTCTGCAGTACAAAATGAAACAGTCAAACAGCAGCATGGGGGATAATAACATGCATGTGTGTGTGTGTGTGTGTGCATCATAATTCAAACACATCTGTAGACTGCTGTCTGTCTGTCTGACCTTCCACGATGACGGTGATGGGGTTCGGTCTGAAGCCTTCTCCTCCAGGACACAGCGTCCTGTACTCAGCTGTAACACAACACCACAGGGAAATCACGACCAAAAAACCCCCAAAAAACACAACCATGAACCAGCAGCAGTCACACCGTACTGACGGTTGTTTTTTTTTTAGATTGACAATAATGAAAGTCTGATGTTGAGATGTCAAACGTTCCAGGTGCCTGAGAGAAGACGACTTATTTACAGGTGCTCTTTGTTCTGCAGCTTCAGTTCAGATACTGGAGCTCACAGAGGGACTGGACCCGACTCAGCTGCAGCATTTCCCTGGGCTGAGTCATTCTCTGTAATGTTTTTAACCATCTGATACTAATTTCCCAGTGAGTTTCACGAAGCCGCCTCATCTTCAGCACTTCAAACAATTTCAGCAAACAAACACTTTTTAAAACTTTTAGAAAATCAAAGAGCGCTGCACACGTTCAGACCAGCTCAGACCAGTCAGCTGTCACTCAGCTCTGATGGGTTGGTCAGGTGTTGAACTGGTTGTAAAAATTCTACGAAAGAATGAACTGAACGATGAAGTGATTGGCTGTCTGAGCATTTCCCAGAATTCCAGAAAAAAGAAAATGGGAAATTCAAAAGCAAAAAAATGTCTACCTGACTTCCTGCTACATTTAAATGCATGGTTCATAGATTGTTTATTAATTAATAACTTCATTCAAAATGAAGGTGAGAAATGAAATTTGATGAAGTTCATTATGATAAATTACAAAGAGAACTAAGGCAACACTGAGATTGAAAAGAAAAATGATGAGGTTAAAGTCAAACATAAACATAAAGTTAAAACATTACGAGAGAAAAAAATCAGACGTTTACGAGAATATAGTCATAAGTTTACAAGAATACAGTCATAAATTTATGAAACTGAAGTCATAATATTAGTATGAAAAGACATTTGTGAAGGTGATGAGCCAGAAGAAGGCCCAGCAGGAAAGTAAACTAAACTTATGACTTTAATCGTGAACATGTCTGAATTTATCATCGTAAACTTATGACTTCATTCTTATCAAATTAGGACTTTATGATCATAAACCTATGACTTTATTTTCATAAATGTATAACTGTATTCTCATTAACAAGACTTTAGTCTTAGCTCAGAAACATTTTCTCAGAAACATAAAATCTAAAAAGTAATCTACAAGTTTATTCCTGTGATTTTACATACGTTTTCTTTATTCTCAGTGTGACTTTAATATTCTGTCGTTAGAAATACCTTTACCAGCTGACTAATCAGAGATTTAAAAAAATAAATAAATCACAGGAACTGCAGCTCTATTTCACTGCTAATGTTAATACAGTGACATGTGGTCAACGCGCCGTCAAATAAACTCCATTTTATTTACACTGCACCAAACTGGGAGTTTTTACAGCGAAACGGTGACTCACTTGTGTTCACATAAGGGCATGATTCACATGGATTCCCCCAGCCCTGGCCCAGGGAGCAGCAGCATGACGCCTTGGAAACGCCAACTCCAATCTCTTTGGAGCAGCTTAAGCTCTCGGAGGCATCCCCACGTGAGTGAACGTCCAGGAAGCAGCTGCCAGAGCGGGTGTCTGACCAGACATGAAGGCAGGTGAGGGTAAAACACACACAGGGGTTTCACAGGTGTGTACTATTAGACATACGTCAGCTGACACCCACCCCCTGAAGTTCAGCTAGTTGCTTTACTACACTCATTGTTTTTTAAAATACTTTTACAATTTTAAGACCTTTTAAGGCCTTTAAGACCTTCAGACCTCTGACCTATTTTGGCATTAATAGTCATTACATAATTACGGCTGTCAAAATACATTTTAACTGATTTTAAAACATGTGTTTATATCCAATAATTCCACTAGTCACTGCTCAATATACAAGTAATTTAAACACTGCGAAAGTTTTCATTTCACCAAAGCACTAGCTACATAAAATACCATCTCAGCTCCCAGCATGCATTAGTGACTTTAAATCCCACTACAATGTTTTAGGTTCTTCCTGCTACTTTAATACATTTATATAATACAGTGCATTGCCCTGATAAAAAAACTCCTGCTTTACAAGATTTGGGTCCTCGTTGACCCTGTCTTAGACCAACGTTTACGAACTTTTGTTCATCTACATTCATCTTTTACCTGAACAATAACGACAACTCGTGGGAAGCCACTGAATCTTACCTACACAGCCCACCCGGGTTGGGTTGAGTTCAAAGTCAGGTGGGCAGTTGCAGCGGAAACTTCCAGGGACGTTGATACAGATTCCATTCACACAGAAGATCGGGTCGAGACATTCGTTGATGTCTGAGGATTGGACCAAAAAAAAACTTTTTCAGCATGTGTTGGTTACAAAAGACAGTTTTAACCTTTTCACAAATGTTTCCCTTTTTTGTGTTTTAATCTCCTGACAGCAGACCACTGGACTGTAGTCTAGAACATCAGTCTAGAACATCAGTCTAGAACATCAGTCTAGAACATCAGTCTAGAACATCAGTCTTACCCGTGCAGTTGCCTCCACTTCTGTCCAACTCATAACCGGCCGAACATTCACATCTGAAGAGTCCTGGTATGTTGACGCAGCGTCCATTGACACAGATGTCAGAGAAGGTACACTCATCAATGTCTGCAAAAGAGAAAAAAAGAACAGGAGAGGAGGAGGAGGAGGAGGGAGCAGAAAGATGAAGAGAAACGAGCAGCTGTGAGCGATTAATGGATGATTGGATCAAGTCTTCACATTCTCACACTGTGAGGTCAGGTTGAAAACCTGACCTTGTTTGAAACGTGATTTTTTTACTCTTGAATTTATGAAAAACTGAGACCCATTGTCACCATGACGTCAGCTGCATCACTCGACCTCATCAAGGACGCAGGAAATACACGCAGTTGTCACAAATCTGACAACGGTGAAGATTCACTCTTGTAAGATTTCTCTAGGGAGGGGGTTTTCAATTGGGGTCCTTGCAGGTATATATGTAAATGCATAGTATATAAGTATTATAGTAAAGCACCATAAAGTATAGTATAGGACTGTAAATTGATTAAAATATTAAACAGCTATGAACAGCATGGTTAACTGAAGAGAAAAATCCCAAATTAATTTCCCATCTCTGTGTATGTGTGTGTATGATTTTCCTACAATTATCAGTTTCAGCACCGGGGGGCGGTGGTCTCACCTTCACAGGCCTTTCCATCAGGGGTGGGGAAGAAGCCCATGTCACACTCACAGCGGAACCCTCCGGGCAGGTTGAGACAGTGGCCGTTCTCACACAGGTTACCATTGTCCGCACACTCGTCGCTATCTGAATGATTGATCACACAGGTTGTAGCAGTGCATTCTTAACAGGAAGTGAGCGGCAGGACGGAGGTTTGTGATGCGTCACCTGTACAGAAGAACCCGTCTCCAGAGAACCCTTCTTTGCACATGCAGCGGTACGAACCCATGGTGTTCATACAGTCAGCGTTGTTGCTACACAAGTGGGTCCCGTTGGAACACTCGTCCAGATCTGGGACGAAGAGGAGGTTGAAAGGTCAAGCTGACGATGATGATGTCATTGACAGCATCCACAGTAGTACATGTTGCACAGAATACAATGATAATACGTTACCTGTGCATTTGAGGCCGTTTCCGACCCAGCCTGGAGCACAGCTGCATTTGAAGCTCCCAGCTGTGTTGGTGCAGGTGGCATGGGGGTCACAGTTGTGGGCTCCAATCTCACACTCATTAATATCTGGCAGGAAGAAAACAAACAACACACCATGTGAAGGAGGAACAGAAACCAGCGTTCTGATGGTCTGCTGGTTCAGGTCTGGATTCTCCTCTGAGGAGTTCTTGGCACCATGACGACATCTGATGCTTGGTTTAAACGCTAGAGAAGAAAGACATGGATTGAAGATCACTGTCCAAGAAGATGTGTACTCTGAAGGATAGGTTAGCCAGAGATTCTAGTGGTCTCTGGTACTGAGGCCCAAACTCAGGATCCGTCCAGATGAAAAGGCCAGAAAGGCCAAATTATAAATATATAAATATTTTAGCAGCGACAGGAAGAAGCAACACCCGAATATTAGCTAAGTACTGTAGTAACTGCTCAGTTCTACAAGTATTTATTTCTAGTGTCACAAAAATGGTTGAATATATTCACCATGTTTTGTCTGCACACAAAAACAAATACACAGCCAGTAATTATTGTGTATTACCAAATGTAAAAAAAAAGTTCTGTTAAGGCTCTAGTGAGAACTAACCTGTTTTTTTCCCCATCAGTGAACACTTTTACGAATTTGTCCTTGAACCCGTTGACCTCCCCACATCTGTTCCGTTCTATTGTATTCTACAACGACTGCCGACAAAATTTAAGCTGTTTACATCCTGCGGCGTGTAAACAATAAGGATCTCCAAGAAACGCTCCTGTGTCCCAGCAGCTCAAGTGGTTCTGATGTAATCAGGTCCTTGACACAATGGAAACTACAACTATTATACCTATAAGGTGGAACAACCTTGTAGAACTGACTAGAACAATATCTGGCCCTGAGCCTGAAACCGGTGGACTGTGGTCTTTAGACGTGAGAATGTACTCAGGTATATGCAAAAAAAAAAAAAAAGGTTTTGTTTCACTAAGAGTGTAAATGGATCACAGCCACTGTTTTATTCTGTTTTTTTATGGTTCTTTGTTAAACAGACAAGGACAAATCTTCAGTTTTATTTCAGCCACTGGTTTGTTATTTGCAAAGATTGCTAAGCAAAATTGTTCCAAGGAAACAAGGTGGAGATCAGTTTTTACTGACCGGGATAAAAATCTGGTGGAAAAACAATAGCTCGCTAACGCTAGCCAAGAAATGGTTAAAATCAGAAACACATTTTATGGACATTAGAGAAAAATTGATTGATTGATCAAAGTAAAGTGAGGTGGGTCTTTACTTTCATTAGTTATAATAATGAACTTGTCCAGGTATAGGTTGAATTCATTAGTGATAATAATGAACTTGTCCAGGTATAGGTTTGCTCTAAAAAAGAACAGCAGGTTCTGTCTGAATCTTTCTTATCTAAAGGAAACCTTTCTGCTGGTCTGAGAGGAAATAGCATCTTGATTCCTTGGCATTTTCAGGCTCAAACTCAAACTCAACCTCTGAATCAGAACCAGCTGCTTTAATGCAACTCCAGGTTTCTAAAAACAAGAACAAGACTAGGAAAGGGTGTGATCGAGGGGAACAGTGACATCCAGACAAAGCTGTTTATTTATCACCTGGAGGAAGACGCGCTGCTGCCGCTGCCGCAGCCTGAGCATCTGACTCATTTTGACCAGGCAAGAAAAGATCAGAGTCCAAACTCACAGCCATCCTCGGTCCAAACGTTGTTTTTTAAGTGGCCGTATAAATCAAGCCTGACTACGGACACAGGTCCAACCAGCAGAGGACTCTAGCAGACGACTGTGTATTTATGTCTTCTGGAGCGGGGACAAGTAATGACACGCTGCAGAGCGCGTCCAAGCCTCACGTCATGTTTAAGCAACACTAATGAAAGAGCAACGGAGGAATAAACAAAGGTGTGATATCATGTGACTGAAGGACGGTGAACTCACTGCTGCATCTGTCTGTCTGTGTGTGTGTGTGTGTGTGTGTGTGTGTGTGTGACCCTCAGCTCTAGGTCCAACATCAGTCCAGACTCAAACACTGAGAATTCTGGAGGAAGTCTTTGACACCAGGTCACAGCCCCGCCCCTCTGTCTGGTCTAAGGACTGAAATCCAGATCTTTTCAATGTCCTTTTAGTTTGGAGTAAAGAAATAAAAACCTCAGAAAAAAGTTTTGGGTTCAACTCTGTCTCAAACCTTACATTGTCGTTTCAAACTTATTAAATACCAACATGTTTGATGTTATAACATCTTCCTGACAAGCTTCTCATCCTACCCTTGTACAGTGGTTCCCAACATAGGGTGTGGACCCCCTGGGGGACACTGACTAATTGCTGGAGAGGCAAAGTAGAGCAAATGAGTTTGGATTATTTTCCCTGTTTGTTCTACGGTGCCTGGTGAAATGCTTGACAGTCTTCCTGTCTACAAATGGGGGCGCTGCAGAGACAGTTTGGAAACCACTGCACTAGCATGTGTGTGTTTAATTAAACAGATGGGAACTCCTGACAAAGGTGAGTAAAGACAGAGCTGCTGGTGGACGGATCAGCCGTCCTCACATCCTCTCATTTTTCACCTTTCTCTTCAGTCACACACACACACACACACTTAACCTCATCTGCATCAACCTAACCAGCAGCTGCTGTCCACTGACTCACCGTCCTTTCACTTCCATTCCTGTTGTTGCACTGACTTTTCGTAGAGAGTATGAATACTTTTGTGTGTGTGTGTGTGTGTGTGTGTGTTTGTTTGTGTGTATAGCTATCCTTGAGGGGACATTTTTCTGCTCGGTTGTGGGGACCTGTCGTACTTGGGGAGATTTATTTATTTCAAAAACATTCCAATGGATCCTGCACTCTGACTGAGGGACTTTGTCCAAAAACTCAGAAATAAAACAAAACTGAACGAATAATAACAGATATGTGTCTTATACACGCCAAAATGTTCAGACAAATGCTGATAAATGTCAATAAATATAATGTATAACAAATAATAGGGAATACATTTTTAATGGTTTAGGGTCAGGACCAGGGGTTAGAGCAAGCGTGGGAAAACGTTTTGACTCGGGGGACATAATGGAATGTTCATGTGAACTAAGAAAAATGAAAGGTAAGTCGTGCAAAAACGCTAAAATGATAATATAAATAATTAATATAATTTGAACAAGTTTGGTGGGATGGATTAAAAGGCCAAACAGGCTTTTCCTAGATCCGGCCCTCGGGCCACAGTTTGTCCATGCCAAGGTTAGAGAATACTTTGTGTTTATAAAGTCCTAACATCTGATGAAAACCAGACTGTGTGTGCGTGTGTTTTGTTCCCGTCACCTGTGCAGCCTGTTGTTCCCTTGCGTACAGAGTATCCCAGTTCACAGTGACAGATGAAGGATCCCTTGGTGTTCTCACAGTTCCCACTCAGACAGATGTTTGGGTTCAGCTCACACTCATCCACATCTAGACAGGAAGGAAACAGAGCAGTGAGACACAGACGGAGCAGGACGGTCCACACGCTGGACACAACCTGAATCAAGGACCCACTGTTCATGTGGTCCATGGATGTGCAACATGTAAACAGCCGGCGTGGCCGACGATGACGGCGCACAAACATTCTGAATCCCTGACATCATTTTGTCAGATTTTTGTTTTAACTCTGGGTGAAACCAAACATCCATGTGGTCGAACATAGGGTTTACTTTCACATGAAAGGTCCACTCATCATCATCAACAACAATAACAACATGACAGCATCAGTTTCCTCACACGTACTCTTTGGGTTTTTATTCCCATGACTCCTTTCTGCTTAACCACTAATCCCATCATTACACTGTTGCAGTGTAAATCCTAGGAAACTGGTGGGTTTAATAAGCAGCGAGCCACAGTGGGTGGGACCGCGGTGATTCATTTTGGTCGTGAACATGTGCACTTCATTACCCAGGCAGGTCTTCATATCCTCAGAGGACATGAAGCCATCGAAGCAGAGACACTGGAAGGTCCCGGGGGTGTTTGTGCACTGTCCTCCGTCACAGATGTCCAGGTTCTCCTCACACTCGTCAATATCTGGTGAAGACGCACGGACACAGCGATTAAAAACAACAATAAAATGATGGAATCATTAGCATTAGCATCATTTTTTTCTTTATTATTGTGATGTGTGGTGATGCCAGTCCCATGCTAGTACTGAGTAACACCCCCCCACCCTGTGACTCATGATTTGTCTGTAGTTTGTTTACGGAGCCACTGGGCAGAGGACTTTCAAAATAATGGTACAAATATTTGTTTAATCTGCGTCATTTCATGATGAAACCAGCGTCCCAGCTAAAAGGAAACCTCATGCTAACGCATCACTAGCCCCTCCCTAAAATACACACATATATAACAAGAAGTTAAAAAGGCTCCTTAAATTTCTCATAATGCTGTTGAAGGTGTACAGCTCCATATTACAGCTGGCGCCCTTCACTTTAGTACAGCAGCTCTGCAACCCCCTTCCAAAGGCTTTCAAAATTCTGCCAGGCACAAAAATATTTTTTTGACAACAAAAAAAGCCCCCACACCCCACATGTATTTGTATTGTCTATTGGTGGGCGTGTCCAGTGAATGTGTGGAGTTCTGGCCACATCCTCTTAAATATCTTCTGTTCTCTAAGGTTTTACAGTGAGTTAAAGACTTCAGAATGGTTTTTCTCTGCCTTGTCAACTGGTGTACCGTGACCATAAACATTGTGGCCCCTAATTAACTCAATTTTCAGTCAATAAACAATAAATAAACAACTCCACAGATTTTTTTGGCTAAACACTGTTTGTTTTCACTGGAGGAGTAGCAGCCAAATTACAGCAGTTCCTCTCTACTAGTTGCAAGTGTTTTGATGTTCAGCTTCATTCTTACTCGAAATGCTTGCTCAAATTAGGTCCCTCTAATTAGGTCCCTCTAAACACAACACAGCCTTTGAAGTACTGTGTGTGTATCACCGTGTATAAAACCCTGTAAAAAAATGCGTAAAAAACCCAGCCCAAACAGACGTCCCTGAAAGGAAAAAAAAATAGATAAAAAATAAACAAAAATGTTGTTTTCAAACTCCAGTGGTAGTAAAGATGTTGGTACTTACCGGTGCAGCTCCTCAAATCTGGCATCAGGGCGTAACCACTGTGACAGCTACACTCGTAACTCCCGTCTGAGTTGGTACAGAAGGTCTCACAGCCGCCGTTCTCGATGGTGCACTCGTCGATGTCTGACAGGCAGAGTCAGACCACAAACAGTCAGACGACTAACAGTCAGACAACCACATCCATGATGATGTGAAAAGAACAGTGACAGATGTGCAGCACTTACCGACACACTCCACCCTGCTCTCCGTGGATTTGTATCCGGTGTTGCAGATGCACTGGTACCGTCCAATCATGTTGACACACTGGCCGTTTTTACACAGTCGGTCGCTTAACTCACATTCATTGATATCTGTCATAAAAAAAAAGAATTCTGTGGAATTACACTGTACATTGAGTGGAACAACTTTTATACATAACATGTAATGTTGGATGTGACTGTAAAAACAAGGAAGCCAAAAGAGACGCACAGCTGGACAAAATAAGTGAGTGATATTAAATGATCTGGCAAAATAGGCGAGTGATTAAATTATCAAAATCAGGACAGAGATTTCCAAAAATAAAGATAATATATATATAAAACTAGGTAAAAAGTATGACCCAAATGTGGCTCAGTACTAGTCTAACCCGAGTGTGCTCATCACTCACCCAAACAGGCGGAACCATCCGGAGCGATCTCATGTCCATCAGGACACACACACTGGAAACTGCCCTCGGTGTTTATACAGTCACCACCACGACACAGCAGAGGGTTCCGCTCACACTCATCAATGTCTGTTGAAGGCAGACACACATGTTATGACAGTGGCGTGGAATATTAGTGTGCCGTGAAAAAACATCAGGCGTTCCGGTCTATTCTTTATGTGTGTCTTTCTTCAATTCCTGCGGGTGTATCGGTGCTGTGTTCAACTAAACTGGGTCAGTAAATGATGAGTCAGTTGAAACTAGAACATTGTTATATTTCATTACATATAGTTTTGGGACATATTTGTTTGGTGGCGTGCCGTGGATTTTTCCAAAGGAAAGTAAAGTTTCAAACAATCTGTGTAAACTACCTACAGATGTACAGTAACATTTTGATCACTTTCTAGTACTTTTGTTCCCCGACTCACTTGGCTAATACCAACAGCCTATGACTGATACCCTACCTTGTCATTCTGTGGAGGTAAACTTGTCTATGGTGGCTTCATGCCAACAAAAGTAGTGAGTCTCTCCAAACTGTGTAGGATCTCCCAGAGGAATTTAATCAGAGAGAACTGAAGACGAACCACGACAGAAACAGAAAACTAAATGTTTTCACAGATGGCAAATATTCAGCATTTACAGCCACTGCACCATTAAAGGAGTTTTGTGTGTCTTTTTGAATCAATCACTTTGAATACAGTTCCATATTTTTCCCTTTGTGCTGAACAGTTTACTTTTCACATTTGATTAAACTTTTTTACTGAAACTCTGAAAACTTTTCTCTTATACAGAAATCAGTTTAATAAGTTACTTTTTATTGTAATATTTCTTCAAATTAATATTATTATCTAATATTTCTTCAGATTTCTATCGTTAAGGATTTAAGCCAGGCTCCAGCTTATCTTTGACAGTATCAAAATACAAAGTCTATCTAATATTTCTTCAAATTTCTATCAAAATTCTATCTTTGACAGTATCAAAATACAAAGTGATCAATAAAAAGTACTTGAGGACGTGGGTTATAAAACCTGAACCACTAAAGGAGGGCCTCAGGGATCTGACCTAGGTCTACAGAAACATTGTTGGACTTGTTAGACAAATACACTGTTATGTAGATGAAACAGTGATTTACAGCTATCGTTAACATCAACAATTTTAAATGTATAAACACCTACATCCAACAACTGAATGAATGACATTATTGTCTACACTGAACTGTGCTAAAGTAAAGTAACATTCAGATTAAAGTAACATTATTAAGCTTTGTCTCAACATTGTGACAAATTGTAAAACTTGTGTATCAAATTCTGGATGATGTGAGCCATTTATATGAAAGTTCCAGCACATCTGACCCTGGAACATGTGTGAGTTTGAGTAGGTCTGAACAGTCGACTCATCCTTGAAACACGAAGAGCTTTAATGGTTGGCGACGACTTCTTCCTTCAGATACAGTGACATTTTACAAGGTGTGAGAGAAGGAGGTTGTGTAACGACGTTTATATGAAACACTGCTGTCTCTGTATCTAATCTGAGTTCAAAGATGCCTCACTAGCCATGACTTCAGACCAAAGCTGCCGTGACCCCTAACGAAGTGGAAGAAAGGCCTAAAATAAACCCATATAATCTACACTATGTTAGAGTGAGTACTCTAACAAACTCACCCATGCAGTTTTTCATCATCATGAATCCACTCTCGTAACCCTCGAAGCACTCGCACTCAAAGTCTCCCGGCGTGTTCACACACGTGCCCTGTCCACACAGGTCGGGGGAGATGTGGCACTCGTCAATGTCTACATGAGAGAAGGAGGAAGTAGGAAAAGAAAATCTGTGAAACTGCTGCTAGAAAAATCCTGCTACACAAAACACTGGATGAGGAGTGAACGAGTTTTCCCTCTGAGGTTAGAGGGTTCTTAAAAAATCAAGATGAACTTCCAGGAACTTTTCATAGTAGGTTAGGCTGGGGAATTTTGGATAGATTAAAAAAAAAAAATCATCAATCAAAATTATCTGAATATATTGGAATAAAGTAGATTTTATCTGCCAGTAGAATCTGACCAACTTGTAATTATTTTACTGAACTCAATTCTCTCTATGAACAACAACAAAAAATACCCCAACATCATCAAGTGACACTCCCACACCTCCAAAAAAATGATAATTTTCTGTATTGATGAACTTAATAACATGAATTAGTTAAACAATAAATAAAATGTGCCTTATTTGGCTTAATATATGAGGAGGTTAAACTAAATTTTATTCTAGGGAGTATTATTTTTTGTAAAAGAAAAAAAAGAGTAACTACAGACAGATGTTGAGTATTCACTTTTAAAACAGTTAATTTACTGGTTATTTGCTTCATCTGCTAACCTACCAGTACAATTGCGCTCATCAGAGTCCAGGGCGAAGCCATTGTCACAGCGACAGCGGAAACTTCCGATGGTGTTTCTGCACCTCCCGTGGGAGCAGAGGGAGTTTATCATCCTGCATTCATTGATGTCTGAAGCACAGAGCATGAGACACGTGAGAGACCATCGACGCCACAGCTACTGCTTCCTGCTGTCGCTGGTAGTACCTTTAAGGAAGGGTCTGCCGTTAATGAAGTCCCCTCTATGAGAGAAGCCTGGACCCCGAGGACACAGCTGGGTATAGTCGGGACTTCCCGCTTCTGGACATTCGTCACACTCAGGGCCCCAGGCCACGCCCACTGAGCAGCAGCAGGCATCCACACGGTGCTTCCCTGGGATGGGAGTCCCACAGCGGTCGTCATCATGTGTGAGGTAGCAGTGCTCCGTACGCAGGTCTGGAAGGTCCAGGCATTCACACCCCCAAGGAGTAAAACAAAGAAAAAGACATTCATTATTAATTTAGATTTAAAAACACCCCAGGACCACCCCACCACACACACTGGCTGCTGTTCACCCACCGATGCACATCCTGCCACTGAGATCAACAGTCATTCCTGAAGGGCACTGGCAGTAGAAGGAGCCTGGTGTGTTGATGCATTTGCCGTTGATACAAACGCCAGGAAACACTTGACATTCGTCCACATCTGAGAGACAACAGACAGACAACAACAACAACTGACACTGTGAACAAAGATGAGGGTCGGGACCTGCTGTGGACGGAGGAACCCAGGTGGAACTGACCTTCGCAGACGTTTCCTTTCACTCTGGCAAAGCCTTTGCTACAGATTGGATCTGGAACAGAAAATACAGACGATGGCTGTTTGGTTTAAACTGCGTCAACCCCGTGTTGATTTGACAGACAGTACAGTTTTAGTCAATGAAATATTGTAAATTATAATTAGCTTTAGTTGACTATAAAATAATGTGTAGCATTTTTTACATTCTCATAAGTGTATTTTATATTAAAAAATATTAATTAGTTATTTATTGAATACATAATATTTTTATAATATAATTTTACAAGAAGTTATACAGTAATATATTATTCATTAACATATAAACAGACATAGTACACACATATGTAGTGCATTTGTAGTATAAGTAGTGTATTAATGTAAAAATGTTAACAGGAGATGGAGTTCAGTTGAATTATAAATATACAGTATACATTTATATATGTATATATATAAATATTTCTGTATATATGTACATATATGTATATTTATACACACACCGACCCACATATATTTTATTTTATATATATAAAGAATTATAAATAAAAAAATGAATGAATGGAGCGTGGGGAGGGGATGTTTTTTCATTATAAATGAGTGTCAGTGATAAGAGGTAATGACACCTGGTCTGTGGACTTTTACATGTCAACAGACTTGACACTGGTCAGCTCTATGTTCAGTCTTGTTACATCACATTATTCCTTCACCTTTTTCACATTTGGAACAGGGGCTGTTCCAGGCCTCCCCCAGGGTAGCACAGCAGTGGGACTTCAGGGTTGCACCATTGATGTTGACCTCACAGCGGCCGTTGATGATTTTCAGCCAGCAGGTACTCTTAGTCGTCTCTGATTATTGACACAGAACACACAAATGGACATGGATGGATGCATGAATACAATTAAGTTATCATTTCATTTATCATTTATCAACATAAAATTCCATTCTTAAGAAATAACGCTGACTCACCTATACACTCCAGGCCAGAGCTGTCCAGTGAACTGCCCATTGAACACAAACACAGGAATGACCCAGGGCTATTCTTACAATCTCCGTTGATGCAGGGGCTGGACTCACACTCATTCACATCTGCAGGAGACAGAAACAGATAAACTTTTACGAAACTTAACGAAACCTTCACAAATCTTGTTTACCCATACGTACAGGTTATTTCTTGCAATAGCCTGTATGTATGTGGTACAAAATGTCTTTTAATTCTTTTTTTTTATATATATACTGTTTTTGTTTCTTTCACGAAAATACTGGAAATTTTAAAAAAATTATATAGAGCGAAAAATCCACAATACAAGAATACATTTAAAATATTAAAAACCCGTGCTGCGTGTACTGAGGGGGCGACCAGCTGAACCGTGATACAGCGAGGGACGACTGTATTGACGGTGTATGACAGCAACACAGGGTTGATGGACTATTAGACACACTTATTTAATAAATGATTTCATTTGAGTAACAGTCAGTGAACAGTACAGCAGCAGGAGTGTGTGTCTCTCACCCTCGCAGATGTCAGACGCCGGGTCGAACTGGAATCCTTTCGGACACTGACAGGTGAAACTGCCGGGCGTGTTCCGACACAGGCCGTTATCACAGAGAAGTCGGTTCATCACACACTCATCGATGTCTGAGAACGACACATACACAGAGCAAACTTCACCTCACTTTGTTTGTTTTTATCAATCCTGCGTCTTCCGTGTGTTAGTCTTCATCCCTCACCGATGCAGTTTTTGCCCGACAGGTCGACCTCGAAGCCTTGGTTGCAGGAGCATTTGTAAGATCTGAGCATGTTCTCACACACTCCATTCTGACAGATGTCAGGGTCCAGGGCACACTCGTTAATATCTGAACAGACACAGACATGACCAGAGTTTTTTTACGTTTTTAATTATTTTAGGAAATATAAATAAAAAAATGTCTGACTTATCAGTTAATAAAAAAAGATAAGTTTGGTTCTGTAAAAATTGAAAAAAAATTACCTCTGCCATCACCAGTTTTTCCAATGCTATTTGGGCACAGTGCCAGGAACTCAGCTGCCAAAACACAAACAGCAGAGTTTAGATGATAAAACAAAAATACAACAGAAATCAGAGCAGGTGGTGAGGTTTGTGTCATGTCATGATAACACATTCAGCCTAGATGTGTATCAGACCAAGTCAGAATTGTGGGTAAAATGTGTCATACTTAATTAGCAGCGCCTAAAGCTGTGACTGTTAAATGTTTACACGACAGTTCTTAAAGCTAGGATTGTTTTTTTCTCCATTACACTCTATTCCTGTGGGGTTCCTCAGGGTCTAATCCTCGGACCCATGTTTTTGTTTGGATAAAATGTTTAATGTCCACTCAAGGTGTATAATTCCCTTTGGCACTTTTCCACAGGAGGGCACTAATGGCACTTAAAAACCACAATAGCAATCTCTTAGATTAAAGTAATCTTAAAAGAAGAAGAAGAAGAAGAAAGGTGAGACGTAGAGCAGCTTCGTGAACATCTGTGGGTTTGTCACTCAGTGAATTTAAGGACATTGATGGCACTCAAGACAAAGGACCTTTTGAAAGCTCCCTTGGCCAGGGTGACACGGTGGTGCCTCCCCGACTTCAGGAGCTGTAACTGATCGCAGAGTGAGTGTGTGTGTGTAGAAGAGAAAAGAAGGTTGAGAGATTCAAACATCTTTACCAGAGCTCTGATGTGGGCAGGGTTGGCAGGGCTCGCCGTAGGCGTACTCTGTGCTGGCGCAGCAGCACTCTGACTTGGTCACAGCTCCAAACAAAGGCCTGACACACTGTCCTCGCTTGTATCCACCATAACATGTACTGCGCATATGTGTGTCTGATTCAGGAGGAGTAGAGCAGATATGTGGAAAAACAGAGGAGGTGAGAAGAGAAAGAAAAAAAAAACGAAAACAGACACAAGCTTGCAGCTCTAATATACAACAGGACTGGGGGTGGGGGCGGGGGGAGAGTTACGTAGAGTACATGTATAGCATTTATCAAATGTTGTAGAGCTGATCTCATTCTAAGGAATCTCAACCAGACTGAAGAACAGCAGTTCTCCAACAATACACACAGGACTGTCTGTTGGCTGGAATGATGAACACGAGGGCATGACATGATCTGCCCTCTGACTGTCAGTCCAGGGGTCAAAGGGCAGGACAACTGTTGACCATTGGATGATTGAAATACTGAGATACTGTACGTGAGAGTACTATTAAATAGAACATGAGGAATTATGGTAAAAATGTGTCAGTCAAAAATGTAAATCTGATTGGAATAGTTGGTTTTTCACCAATTGAATTTTTTGAAGTAAATCAAATGACTTCCATTGACTCACCAACACACATGCGTCCATCCAAGCCCACGGCCATCCCAGCCATACATTCACAGCGAAAAGATCCTTCTGTGTTGACACAGTGGCCGTTCATACACATCCCCGGGGTGTCACACTCATCGATGTCTACAGACAGGTGCAGAGACATGAGGATATTATTTTATATTATCTAATACGATAATGATAATTAATGATATGTTGAAATGCCCTGCTTGAATCATCATACATTGATGTACTGGTCCTACATACCCACACACATGCGTCCACCAGAATCCAGGAGGAACCCTGGTTTACAGATGCATTTGAAGCTGCCGTCCTCGTTGATGCACAGTCCGTTCAGACACATGTTCTTGATCAGACACTCGTCCATGTCTGTGGATGAACACATTCAACACATCAATATCACAAGGGCCTACAGATTCAGATATTTAACATCATCCCAGTGAATCACTAGACAATGACAAACCTTGGCAGTTTTTTCCATCTGATGAAATTTCAAATCCAGCGTTGCAGACGCAGTGAAAACTCCCCACGGTGTTGACACAGCGGCCGTTGTTGCAGATACGTCCGTTGGCCACACACTCGTCCAGATCTGGGAGAGATAAAGTTTTATATTGGATTAGGGATGCACTGACATGGGTATCAGTATCAACACTGGTAAGAACACGCTGTTTGCTGGAAAGCAGAGAGACAAAGGCACAGTATTTTCAATTGTTCTCCTGGTATAAAAGCTCTGCTCACTTTCTGTCATCAATGGTGTTTATCCCCCAAAACTGATTTTAGGGCACAGGTCATTTGATGAAACCCAGGTATTATGTTATCAGGTTTTTACTATCGAGAAAAAAACGCTAATGATTCTTACAGATATTAGATAATTATGCTAATACCAGGCAGATAATTTCGGTTGGCTGATCGGTAACCCACAGAACACACCACCCACAGTATATAACACCTCCCAGTTGATGCATATTTATGGGAGTCCATGTATATATATGTATATATATTTATGTATATATGTGTGTATATATATATGTGTGTATATATATATATATATATATATGGGGACAGCTCTAATGTGTATGTACTGCATGTGTGTAAGTGTGACCTCTGCACTCTGTCCTGGTGGATGTGGACTGGAACCCAGGAGGACAATGACAGACGTAGGACCCAGGGGTGTTCACACATTCACCGTGAGCACAGGGGCTCCTCTCACACTCGTCATCATCTGTAGAAGAAAAAGACAGGTTCAACCACCTTCACCACACTCTCCTACCACACACACACACACACACACACACACACACACACACTACGGTGGGTAGTATGAGTGGTTCAACTCTAAGTAAGGTTACCAAACGTACCGGTACACACTTCTCGTCCATCCAGCCTGAATCCCATGTTGCACTCACAGCGATATCCAACACCTGGTGTGGGGACACACCTGCCGTTCAGGCACAGGTTGTGGAAGACCTGGCACATGTTGGTGATATTTTGGGTTTGGATGGGAAAAAGACCTGTTGATGACGAAATGATGGAGCCTATATTTTAAATCCACAGCATCTTCACTAAACACATCTTTTGACTCATATGGATTAGTCACAAATAAAACAGGTGTAAAACACATTGACATTTACCTGTTGTTCCTCTGTCTGTTACACTGATATACAGATAAAACTTTTTTTGACATCTTTTGATGATTTAGTTAGACACATATGGAATAATTGTGAGTAATTCACAGGTGTATTGCTATTAAAGAAATAAAAAATATAATGGGAAACATATATATATGTAATTCTATACCTGTTCTTAATGACCCCACCCTTGTCACAAACCTGTAAAGAGTGTAGAGGAGCAAAAATACCTGGTGAAGGGCCACCAGGCCAAATTACAGTTCCTGGGATTTGACCTGGAACCTGACCTGGGACCTGGCCTGGAACATGGCCTGGAACCTGAATGGGAATATGACCAGGAATCACTCCTGGTCCCTGGCCAGGAATTTGTCCTGGAATTTGACCTGGGTATGGACCAGGGTAAATTTCGGGAAGGTCGGGACCCCCTGGGACGCGACCTAGTATTATATCAGGCAGCTGGAAGCACAACCTCTGGTACTCTTCTAAAGTAAAAACGTAAAGAGTTAGTCCTGCGTTTAAAAAACACGGAACACAGGAGAACACGGAAATAAACCTCGGCGATGGGGAGTGACCTCACCTGTTGAACGGAGCGGGCACATTTCAGGCGCTGAAGCATCAGACCAGCAGCGACCGACATCACAGCAGCACTTCCTCTTGGTCATCAGCTGTGGGTTTTGGTTGGCACAGCGCCCGCTCAGCACACTAGCGTAGCAGTACCCAACACGTCCGTCTGCGAGATACGATACATCATCACATGACATTGTTGCAGTGAGGAACAGGACGTGGAGCAAAAGTCAAAGCAAACCCTTTTGTTGCTTCAGATTTTCCATCATTTCTAAAATGAGAAGTGTTTCCATGTCATCAGTTTCTTTTCACTTGTAAACCTTTTCTCACATCCTGCAGTTCTGGCACAGCCGGCCGTCATGACTAACACCCTGGTTCCATATTAACACAGATATATCATGTCCTGTTTCACACTCTCAGCTTTTCCAGCATATTCATGCAGACGGCCCGACACACGCTGCACTAACAATGATTTTCTCTCCAGTTCAACAAGATGTCAAACACTTTCTGCAACAATAGTCGTCCTAAAAATATCTCTTTAAATAAAGACCTTTATTAATCTCAGAGTTTAAATCTTACAGCAGTGGTAACATAATAAGCAAAGTTTTTCCAAATCGAATACATTTTCTTTTGGCAGCTAAAGAACTAAATGTTTATTTTTCATCAACATTCACGACAGGTAGGTTAATGTGACGCCATCGTATTCAGATTCACTTTTCAGTCTGTAGATGGGTTTTCTTTCATGCCTGACAAAAAGTCTTGGGTGTGTCTTGTTGAGCTTCTTCAAGGTTAGGGAATAATTTTATTTGTATTACTGCCACCTACTGGGCTGAAGTGTGTGAGCATCAGCGTTACTGTTGTACTAGAACTTAAGTAACAAAACAAATAAATTAAAATAGGATTTTCATGTTCCAACATTGGTCAAAACCAACTAAACTTTTTTGCTTCAAGAGTTTTTGGTGCACAACCCGTGTTTGCATCTGCATGTGTTTTATTGTGTGTGGATTGGTTTTTCATGCAAACACAGTGTGTTAAAAGAGAGGCTCATGCATAACCAGGTCTGAATAAAAAAATAAAATCAACGGCACAGGAGCAGAAGAAGAGTGTCGACTTCTCTAAAGTCCTGTCCACTGTTAGAGATGAATATTCTGTGCAGTTTCTTATTGTTGTGGAAATGGAAACAAGCAACTGACTACTGACCTAAATTCTACAAGCTGGAATGTTGGACAGCTTTCAGTTGTCTCAGCTTTCAGTGCCAGACATAAGGCAAGAACCAAAATGGGTGGAAAATGGAAAAACAGCAGAGCTGCACCATTCTTTCTGGATCTTTTATTTTACCTATCTGAGCAAAAGAAGTGCTGCACAATTGTTTTGCTGAAGAAGTTGGAGACTCACCTATGCATCTGGATCCATCCACTGAGGTCTGGTACCCCTGGGGACACTTGCAGAAGTAGCTTCCAACTGTGTTAGAGCATTCACCCACAGCACAGATGCCTGGGATGTTCAAACACTCGTCCAGATCTACGAGGAAGAGAGAAGAAAAGGAAGAAGAAGACTGGAGTGAATAATCAAACATCACCGTCATCATCACCATCCATGTAGCATTGGTACCATGTACAAAACTACACAATAACCCAGATGAAGAGGATCAGAATCTAGGGGGCGTTGCAGAAAAAGGTTGAGAAAATACAAGTACAATAGGTGAAACAAGCAAAGTACCAATATAATGTAGCTCATTTAAGTAAAAAAGGAAAGTACCTTGAGATAAAAAGACAACAGAGACCCAGTATGCAGTGCAGATTTTGGTATGTAGTTACAGTAATAGATAATTATCAATCACAAGAAAAATAAAACAGGACGAAATAATACTAAAAGAAGATGTCTTGGTTGTCATTTTTCAAATTAAAAAGTCTTTTCAAAAGTAGACTTTCTCATTCTGCTGTTATGTTTTCTAGCATAATAAATATTTCTAATCCAGACAGTATGGTTAAAGAGGGACTTTCTGTCATAAACTAATTTTATTGGTGAATCTTAGGTTGCGATCTGCAAAACAAGTAAATCTCTGAGATTATCACAAGTTAAGAAAAGAAAGATGGAAACATCGCTCACACTCAGAGGAGAGTTTGAATTATGTCTGTCCTTAAAATGTAAAGTTTACACACAGAACATTAAATTCTAACAGCAAAAACACATGAAAGGGAGAATGATCTAATTAGTGAGTCATGGATTCAAGTTTGTCGTTCACTTGTTGTTGTTGTCTTCAAAACCTTCATATTTTCTCACTGATGCACACACACAGGAAAACACAGTCTTGCTTTCTATCAAAGCGGAGTGTTAGACAAAAGTACAGGGACGGAGCTGAGCGCTGCTTTAATTACACTGAGGGACTGAGGTAAAGTTACAGATGCCTGCTTTTAAGTTGACTTTTCTGTTAACAAGGACTTTCTCAAATTATTACCCCTGCTGATTTGTACCAGGGGTATTTACAATGACTTATAATCTCCAGCAAAGTTTGCTCAGTGATTCCCAACCACTGTGCCGTGGCCCACTAGTGTGCCGTGACGGATCATTAGGTGTGCTGTGGAAAATGATCCAATGTCACTTAATTGGTCCCAAAACTATTATTTATTTATTGCAATTGTTTTTCTTTGTTCATCAATGACAGGGAGACCAATTAAATCCTCTTCTGCTAGGTGGCAGCAGATAGCTATTAAAACTAATAGCTGTTGAAGAATATCTTTGTGTGTGTCTTTCTTCAATTCCTGCCAGTATATCAGCATTGTCTTCAACTAAACAGGCCGAGATTTTAGTCAATGATGAGGTCATTTAAACTGGAAGATTATTATATTTCATTACATAGACTTATTGTCTGGTGGTGTGTCATGTGGTTTTTCCTGATGATATACATGTGCCATGGTTTAAAAACGTTGGGAAACCCTTACTTTCTAAGATGAAAACTAAACAGGAAGTCATGTGGGGCAGACTAAGACTAAGACTAAATCAGATGTAGTTCTCAGTTCTTCAGAAAAGGCTGATGAAAGGCTGGATTTTCACCTTCACAGTACTGTGAGATCTCATTGAACTTGTGACCTGCCGGACATTTACACTCAAACGATCCCACTGTGTTGATACAGTTTCCTCCTTGACATATGCCAGGGATGGCCTGGCACTCGTCCACATCTGTGGAGATGAAAGGTGAAAAGTGTCATTAAACACCACAGCACGTGTTCACAGACAGAGCAGAGGGAGATCTAGGAAACACAGACATTCACATAAACCTTCATAAAAACGTATTTTTCTGCCAACTGATCACAGATCAGCAGTCTGTCACAAGTTCAAGTCAGGACACTGCACCAGTGGAGGACAGGGGACACATCCTGCTACTCTTGTTCAAATGAATACAGTTACTTGATGTTTAAATGACATGTTAGTAGTCAGTAGATTTAGTCGCAATAACAGCAGGTGAAACCAGAACGGCAGATTATAAAGCATCTACCTAGTCGTGGAAAAGAAGAAATTCTTCTCTTTAAACCAAATATAACAAATGTGAACGTACAGTTTGAGAGTGACTGTGACAAAACTTAACTTAATAATTTTGTTGGAGTCATGAATGTGATTTTCTTTTGGTTTTGGTGTTACTTGTTCTGAGTATGATTTAGTTTACGTTATTATTGGTTATTGGTAGTGGTCACATGATCATGAGTAGGATCCAGCACCTGTGTTCACCTGTTGCTCTCTTTTGATTGAGAGAGAGAGGAAGAGAGGGGGTGAGCTTGGGTTGCCATATTTTTTGTTGACCTCTAATTTGTCGTTGATCATTGGGATTATTCTGATTTAGTAGTGCACTGTACTGAGTAACCTGTTTTTGTCCCAGTGAATTTTTCTTGATAGTGGGTCTGACATCCAGGCCCATCCTCAGCATCTCAGTGGCTTAAACTTTCAAGTCGCTACAAACTTCATCTGTCTTATTGTTTTTTCAGAAATGTACTTCCTTGCTAGTCTTATTTGGATTTTATTATACGTTAGACCTTCTTAGATTCATTCTTTTTTTTTAATCTTACCTTCTATTACTTCATCTTTTTTCAGGCAGCTCTGGAGTCCAGTCCCCCTCCTCCCCCACCCCCACCTCTCCTCGCAGAGCCTCTGACGTCGCTGCGTCAAAAGCCAGCAGACAGAACACCACACTGCCAGGAACAAGTTCTCCCCCACATGGTGCTGTCACTGACCCGTGATACTGACTGTGACAGGCCCGTCACAGCAGGTTTTCATGCACATTCCATAAACATGGACTTTAACCCAATTAGAACTAATCCTCTAAATAAGTGTTACCCAAACTGTGGGGCGCAGGGTACATCAGGGGACTGAGATCACTTTGTTTTTAAGATTAGAACATATAGCAAGTGGAACAATGTTTTGGCCTCAGTTCACAGTAGACTCTATTCATGAACGGTCAACAAACAAATCCAGCAGCATAGTGATGTCGTAGAAAGGGCTAAAAAGTATTTTAGCATTTTGGCTTTCATGCATGACTTTTACATGTCATTTATCTGAGTTCACACAGACTCTATCTGCTCCTGACCTGCCCATCATCAAATTGTAGGACCCAATGTGGTCAGCAAGTCAAAAAAATTACCTACACCTGCTTTACACGGTGTGGATGAGAGGCAAACAAAAAAGGATTATGGGAAACAGACTTTACCTTGGCAGGCCCCAGTGCGGTGATTTGGTATGAAACCTCGTCGGCAGGGGTGAGGCTGTGCTGGACACATCTCACAGGGGTGACCCCACGCCCGTCCCACTGTGGCACAGCACATGGTCTTGGTGCAGGCAATGCCTGAGAGCTGGCCTTGACACATCTGGTTATTCACAGAGGCAAAACAAGGTCCAGTACGATAGTCTGCGGAGAGAAAAGTCCGATTTTTTTTCTTTGAAAACATAAATTCTCTTTTTCCAGTACAGAAAAAAAAACAGAAGAAAACACAGAAAACTGCCAAAAAACCAACGCTGTAGATTCAAGAAGTTTTGTCAGAGAAAACTCTCCCTCCCCCGATAATGTTTTTGAAAAACTAATTAAGGTTGAGAAACTGAATCTCCCAAAGGAACAAATGTAATTCTGCTTGACAAGTTCAAGTCGTTATACTGTGTAGCGTACTCTGATGGTGACGAAAGAAGCGCAGAGGGGGACAGTAACACATCTCATAAAGAACGCATTGTCTGTTCCTGGCATTTTAATCTGTCTGGCTCCCAGGTGCATTGTACATGAGAGTGTGTGTGTGTGTGTGTGAGAGCGAGAGAGAGAGAGAGAAGGAGAGAGAGAGAGAGAAACTCCAGGGAAGTTTGTCTGGAAAACCTTTCAGAGTTGTGTGGGCACCAACAGACAGCAGTAACAGTATGCAGCCACTGCAGGATGAGAAATCAGTCTGCTGCATGAATATGATAGTCAGGCCTCCAGTTAGAAACACAGTCATTCAGACGCACATTCAAAATTTTACTTTCAAGTTCAAGTATGAAGAAAAAATAACCACAAGAATTAATTTGTAAAATTCATCCGACTGAACATTTTTAACTGAAGCACAGCGAATATCCAACAACTCAACCGTCCATCCCAACCCAACTTATTGTTGCTCTAATACACAGTCACAGACACATATTATCATTCTATTTTTATGTTATTTAAGCACACTGGAAGAAAACTTTTCCGTGTCTCTGAAGCTTAGAAACAGCCCTCCACCACCCAGGATACCTCTGTGGAGGCTTCGACTTCAGGTCAGAACTCTGTTTGTGTCAGACCGGACCAGAGTGCAGGCCAGTCAGTTAGTCTACGACAGTCAGATGACTGTTCAGGACTGTAGACCGATTAACATTATTGTAGACCACAACTAGACACCGTGAACAGTCATAATACAACTGAAATACAACTGAAAACAACTCTGTGATAGACCTATCAAGATGTATTTTTGCTTCCTTTTATTTTTCTTGACTTTTCACAAATAAGAACAGGTGAGAAACACTGACACCTGCTGTTATTTGTCAAACTTGTTTACTGTGATGAATCCAAAGCTAAGACTATTACCAGCTCTATGAAGGTTTTCACGATGTTTAGAGATGCAGCTCAAGTTTTTTTGAGCTATGACTCAGCACCAACAACTTTTCCAAAAAAAACCCCAAAAGACAGCTAACGCCCCGCAGACTGTTGCATTATCTTGTACAACTTTGTTATAACAAAACTGCTCTAACAGCTATAAATGTCCCCAAAATACAATGTTTTTCCTGCTTCAAAAACCTTCATTTAAATAAAATTGACTACAGATGGACCATCCCACTGGCCAACAACAGTACTTCAGCCATGATCATGTCTCTGGATTTGAAAATAGGATTTGGATTTAGGAATTTTTTTATTTTACTTATTGGGCGAGGTTTGGGTCTATAACTTCATTCACTGTTATATCTGCTGGAACTGCCTATTTATCTAACTGTTTATTTGACTATTTATATACTTGTTGATGTAACCGCTTTTATCATTATACTTATTGTTCTTAGATATACAGTATATTTCACCTCAGACATGATGTGGTAAACTTTACTATAGAGAATTCTAAATTTAATTTAATAATAGAGATTGCAATAACATAAAAAATAACCACAACAACAATAATAATCTGCAAATCTACTACTGCTAGTACTATTACAGCTAATCTACAACTACTGACCTACTAATCTATCAATATCCACTGTTCAGGATTTCTCCTGTTAAATGTTTAAAATCACTGCATCTTATCAGGCCAGTTGTACTGAACGATGGTGAAATGAGGATGGGAATGGGAGGGGGAGGAGGGGGAGGAGGCTGAGGAGGAGGTGTGGGGCTGTGGAGGATGCAAGCCTCCCAAAAGAATCTGGCTGAAATCCAAAGGCAAAAATCATTTCCACATTTCACACCAGACAGCAGACAGTAAGAGGGGAACTGGGAGACTGTTCTCACTGTGCAGTTGTTTCAAACAAGCAACATATTGTGTTTTTTATTGTTGACTGGAGCCCAGCCCAAGACCCGTCACGTGACTTGAGCCTCCACGGGCGCTCGCTCCGACTCCGGCACCAGCGATGTGTTAAACAGAACTGGGTCATCTGTGCTGCTCCTTCCTGCTCAGACTCCACTGGAGACCAAATACTTCTAATTCTTTGTCTACTCAGAGCCGACCTCTCAGACGTACTGTGACTGAATGCAGTTACTTTAACATTTCAACTGTCAAGGAATCAGCCGTCGACACGTCAACTGCTGCATCACAGCAGAGGAACAACAATGATGACGATGCCCACCTCCATTCAGCCCAGGACGTTCATCTGGACTTGGATTACTGACGACTTAAACATGCCTGACACAGATCACATGACAGACTGAAACCTGGACCAGGAACGACATCTTATTTTAGTTCATGTGAAAATGTAATAAAACAGGGATTTCGAGGCACAGAAAACCATAGCATGCAGCTAACAGCATGAAGACAAGTGAGTCTGGCTGTGTCTAAAGGTCAGTCTGTAATAAACAGTCACAACCTTCTGGGATCGACGAGACATATCCATTACGCTATTTGTGACATTGGAGTGATGGTGATATGTGAAGTTCAATGAACCAGTAATAGGAATAAAGGTGCATTATATAAAATAGTCATTATATTTACATTATATATACATGTAACAATTTTGTGTTTTTTGTTTTGCACATGACTGTTACCCACTGTGCCCTGCCGATGGTCCGTGGAAAAATTTGTCTTGGTTCCTGGTGCAGGACCATTGGTTTGCAGAGTCATTTTACAAATGTGTTTGCAATTACCAACACAAGCGTGATGTTAACATCAGAGGGACGGACGACTGACAAAGAATTTGGCACAGAATAGGACGACAGCAATAGAGGGGTGGAGGTCTGCCCCCCAGTGGATGAATTGCTTAACAACCATGCCAATGTGAAGTCACTTGGGAGTGTGTGGACAGCCACATTTGAAACTGACTTCTTTGGGTTCATGTTTTGGCAGCAACACTGCCACTCTGCCACAGGTAATCCATCTAACTAACCAGCTAATTAGCTACAAACACAGAGACGAGAACCTCCGGGAAAAAAAATGGGATCGAAGCTCAGACCAAAGAACTTTTCAACAGTCAGCTGAGGTAAACTGGGAGAGGCAGACAGCTGTAGGGTGAAAGTGGTGTCATTTCATCCGTCATCTCACTGTCTCTCAGTGAACTGCATACAGTTGGGGGATCCACCCATGTCCTGTACATCTGGGAGCAATAGCGCGCGCGCGCGCACACACACACACACACACACACACACACACACACAGAATGAGCCAATATCCCAGCCTTCATCGACAGTCTAGCCAGTGATGATCACAAAACGCTGGTGTTGTTTTCGAGTCTCTGCACTACTTTTGGAATCAAACGTTCATCTCATGTGACTTGGTTTGAAGTGAGTATCGTTTCTGTTGGAACGCAACAGAAAGAACTGCATCAGTGCACACAGGTGGGAAGCCCTGTGGTAAGTGGGTTACACAAGTTTCCTGGGTTTGGTCCAACACTGTTTGTACATATGCAGAAAATCCTGGTCCCCACCCCCCCCCTCACCCTGCTCTCACTCTTAACATTCTCTGACAAACGCTCGGCCTCAGCGTGCATTTTCGGGCCAGTATAAAGGAGCCTGATATCTGAGTGGGACTTCCCCAGGTCTGTCAGCAGATTTACCATTTCCCTCCAGATTAAACAACGTTAGCACACACTCACGTGTGAACACACACACACACACGGTTATCTATCTACTGAGGTTTGCACTGGGCTAGAACAGAGCCTGATAGGGGGAGAGTAAGTGAGACGTTAAAGGAGCAGCTCTCCTGGTGTGCTCTGTCTGCTTTCACTTTTTCACTGGACAGCTCGTGTTTTTCCATGTTCCAGGCCAGATTTTCACCCGCATCCAGTGTTAGCCTCTCTGAAAACTTGACTCTTCATGAGGAGAAACAAACCCCGCCTGCAATCAGCAGCAACATTCCCACATTCCAAGTGAAATCTCATTTGTGACCAACAACAGGCATGTTGATAAGCAGACTGTGTCCAGACTACAGTCGTCTCTGTGGCAGTGGTGCGACCGGCGGTCAGCCCGTCACTGAGTCACTGTGTGGCAACATGGTGCTGAAGACAAATGTCTGCAGGACTGAAAGGTTCTTGTTGGGACCTGATTCCATTAAGACATTGGCTGGGTTAAAAAAAGTATTAGTATTTTTTCAAAATACTTTCCCACCAATATTACTTATATTACATATATATTTATAGAGTAATGGAGCCACACTGATATTTCAGATAAAAATGTTAATTTAAATATAAGCCTCAATTTCATCCAGTTAACACACAATATATATATATATATCTATCTATCTATCTATATATATATATATATATATCTGCTCTACCACAGCACGGCCGTCCTTAAGCTGAATATTTAAATTTTCATACTGGTATAAAACTCACTGGCCTCTGATCTGCCGTATTGTTAAAAGAGAAATGACTAAAGTCACAGCTCACATGTCAATCCAAACATTAGCTGCTGTGGCACTGACGGCCCCCAGCACACTTACAAAACACATGACTGCATAGATACAAGCCCCACACAAAAACACAGAGCCACTCTCAGCTCAGGGTTTGCGTGTGCTTGTATATTTTGGAGCCTTTGCTCTTTCTTTGCCAGAGAGCAACCACAGGAGGTTGGGAGGTCTTCAGCTAACAAACAGCACACATTTAGAAAGACATTACATTCCCCAGAGCACCATACCAGAGCAGATGTGGAAAATAATGGTCATTTCTTAGCCCAAGCTTCACATGCATGTGTTCCACAACAAACCAGATTCCACCAGCCCGTGGCATGACTAAGCAGGGATTGTTTTCACTCACAAAAACAACCGCCGCACTGCATTGAGTCACATTTTCACACAAGTGGCTTCAAACATGCGGCTTTGGAACCCACTGTGGCTGCAGTGGGAGCCTTAACTGTAGAGTACAGACAGAGTACGGTGTTAGAATGAGAGGAGCAGAGAGCCGTGCGGCACGGCCGCCGTTACCTCGTTCACACTGGGCGCCGGTGAAGCCGTAGGGACACACACATCGGTTTGGAGCCACACACCTGCCTCCGTTTTGACAGCCGTTTTCACACACCGCTGTGAAATGAGGGACAACAGATGATCGTCAGTTATGACATGACTCTGTCCTCTAACGTCTGTGGTTATGGACATAATTTGAAATGAAAATATTTCCTTGTCTCTTTGTCTGTGTAAACACCATGACATGCATGACTGAGGCGGCCACAGGCACACAGCCCTGTAAACGCCCTGGGGACGGGGGAATCGGTGCTTGACCTAGATGGCCAAGGTGGGACTGGTAACTGGTTACCAGCCCAGTCCTCTCACCATTAGGCCACAGTCTGGGCCAAAGGAGACATTGGTTCTTGATGTTTGAATAAAATATTTTGGTTAAACATGAACCATAGGTTTGACCACAGCATTCTGTTCTGAATGGATAGTCTCTGTGCCTTTACCTTTAAAAGCTAATGAGCCACTGCAGGCTCCGCCCACCTCATCCATGAAGGTGAAGACCTGACGAAGGTTTCATGTAACCATGGCAGCATATGAGTATTGTAAAAGAACTAGCTGCAGTTCAACTGTAAATGTTTGATCCAGAGTCGGTCTAGAACGACAGGATGTTTGTCTGTGGTTCACTCTGGTGTTCATCTGTAGACTAACCAACCTTTACTGGTCCAGGCTTAGACTAAACGTGTTGAATTTGACTGGATTGGTGGTGTACTTGTAGAGGTGGTGATTAGTGGGTCTGAAATGATGGATTTTTCTGACTTTGTTTATCTGTCAGATCTCTGGTGACCATTATTTCATTCAGTATTTTTCCTGTGATATTTTACTTACGTTGACCGCAGTGATTTCCAACGTAACCCTTCTGGCACAGGCAGTTATCCTCAGCGCAGGTTCCACCATTCATACAACGAACATTACAGTTCTGGACTGTGGGCAGAACGAACACAAACACAGGTTTACTACGTACAGTACATGCACGAGGGAAACCTCCACCACCAATAGAACATTCTTAAAAGAGCAGACGAGAACGTTGGGTTGGAGTGTTGTGGGCTGCTGGAGAGCAACAACGAGGGAATGTTGACTGTGGATCGCTTCCAAAACACACATACACCCAGAGTCATAAACACACAACAACCCAAGAGATTCGACATTATTTGCCAAAACCTAATTACAGCATATATCAGTTGATGAAATCTCGAGAAAAGTTTAAGTTAAGTTTTCATTTTCAACACTTTTTCTGTTTGGTTTTCTTTTTAAATCACATTCATTTCTTCACACATTTAGACTGAGAAGAAGAAAAAATCAGATGTGACTGAAAACATCTTATTATTATTGTATTCCACAGAAGAGTACATACAGTATGTCAGAGCTGCAGACTTATGGCCTGTGTATAATGACTTGTTTGTTTTACCATCACTGTTTCCTCATTTTTTAAAAATCCACACTGGGGTGTGGACCAGGCCGTAGACTCCATCGAATGTTGTACAACTATTCATGCTATAAACTTGTTTATCTGTTGGGTCGTAGCCCACTATCCACAAACTATGTGTTCAATATGATCCAATTCTCTCTTTATTATAAGACCCTCCCCAGAAGAAAACCTAACCACTACTACCTGACTTGGAGCCACAAGACGGGGCAACCTGGCCATTGGGGCAGGTGCACATGTTGGGTCTGGAACAGAAACCATCTCCACAGGAACTCCGGCAAATCGCTGTAAAAACATGAAAATGTAATCTTTCAGATGTGAGATGAAACCAGGTCAGAAGGCATTAGTGCTGGAATGGAAGATTTTGGATATGGATTCAAGATAAAGGCCAGTGGTTAGAGAGTTTAAAGTTGGCTTTGGTCTTCAATCTATTCATTTTCATGAATTAACTCCTCACAAAATAATGACTTAAAAAATAAACCCTAACCCTAAACCCTTTGATTTCACCATTCCCTTTGCCCTCATTTCTGGCCCACCCATCAGACTGAGGCACACCCGCCTAAAACTTTGGCCCAGAACCTTATCTGCTTTTTGAGAGTCCGTTAGAGTGACCTCTCATCTACAGTACAATATTTCAACAGCACCATATTTCAACATGTCTAACTTGGCCTATCTTCTAAAGACCTTGAGAGTCCAAAAAAGCTTGGCCTGGACACCAGGCTATTTTTTCCTTTGACTTTTGTTTCCATAAATGTGACCAGTTACTGCTTTTAATACTAGCTGTTTCCTTTCCCACAGTGAGCTGTTGGCCGAGTATCCTGTCCTCAGCTATCCATCAGGTCGGGGTCCAGCAACTGGATTTCAGTCCTTAGACCAGACAAAGACATAGGCCGTGACCCGGTGTCAACGACATCTTTCAAATCCTCTAATGGAAACACCACTGACAAAGAGTTTAGAATTATTTAATATTTTCATGAAAAAAATTTGTTTGTCACAATTTATCTTCACGTTTTTGACTTCCCACCGTTTTCTTGTCCCCTGTATCAGGGATGAGGATGAATTTGACTTTACTGAGCCTAATAGTTCATTTGATGAAGATGGATTCTCCTAGACACGAGAATTCACTCCATCTTATCTTGAGTCACTTACTTGGAGTCTCAACAGAAGGTCTGGTTTGTAGTTCAGAAAAATCCCAGGAATAACCCTTTTTTAGGTGATTCAACGGTCTCAGAACAAGACAAAGGTTCAGTAGGTGTAAAAACTCAGGTTTCCCAAAGACGGTCAATAACTCGTGGTCATGTCTCATAAGGTTAATAAGATCATCAGATAAACCAGGGAACCAGTGTGTGAATGACTGGTGTACGGTCGTGAACTGAGGAGCTGGTACTCACGAACGATGCACTGGTTCCCTCCAGTCAGAGTCTTCCAGCCTGGGCAGCAGTAGGCGTTGTTTCTTGATCCACATACATTTGGCCTGGAGACGACACAGTAGTAAAATGTTAATGTAGCGTGTCAGGGTTCAAACCGCTGCAGTTCAAGTTCACTCATATCTGCAGACCATAATCACGGGCTTCTGTCGGTGACTCGGCATTACTCTGAGTAACACTTCATCGCAGCCAAAGCTAATAAAAGCAGAACAGTTGTGACGGCTTCCCTACAGGACCGGCGCTGACCCACGCCTCACTGTAAACTGTATATTTAACGGTGTCGGCCCAAACAGGCCCACGAGGTGAATAACGGCACCTCATCAACGTGTGAAACACTCAACATTAAACATCACGGTGGTGGGTCACCATGAGACTCCCCTCCTCTGAACCCAGATGTTCTGATCGAGTCACTCAAAAATGTCAAGCAGGAACGCCTGAGGAGAACGTTCGACGGGCTGTTTGGCTGCGTGACCTCCGTCAGCTGTTCGCCGTCATCATTGGACAGAGACGTTCTTTCTTTACTTTTTATTTGCTTTCCTCTCGCTTCCTTCCCTCACACTCACACACTCCTCTCACTTTTATTCACATATGCACATGCACAGACAAAACCTTTCCAGCAGTGACCCACTGTGTACAGCTGCAGATGTGATTTATCCACAACTGGGGTGTGGTGTTTTTGGCCAGGAAAACTCTCTCTCTCTCGCCCTCTCCCTCTCCCTCTGTCTCTCAGCCTCACACAGACCAATGGCCTTCTTTGTTTGAATGTAATTTATTATTGCAGTCTGCAGGAATGTCATATTCTTGCCAATATTTAATTACTAAACTTTGCTCCAAACTTCCCATCACAGACAATGTCATTCATGGGTCTCAGTCTGTCGTATTAAACACGTGTACGCACACACACACATACACACACAGCTGTTAGTGTTCTTGAACAGGTAATCAACATCACAACAGCCTGGTAGAATAATAATAATAATAATAGGAACTGGAAGTGGGCCGCACCACTACAACAGTAAAGTGACCAGTGGCACCATCAGTGTGAAGTTGGTTTGGTAAGTGTCACTGTATAACCCGTTTCAGATTTTTCTTAAATAAAATATGATGTAACTGTTGCAAATGACAGCCCTAATTTGTGACACAACGGACATTACGCCCTGGTGGACACCAACGTGACCTGCAGCTGGCTCAGTAATAAGACAGGTCAATCCCTACGTCAATGGAATCTGATGGTGATTTTCCAAAGTAATACAAGTTACTGTACACCTAAAACCTGCATATCAGAAAAATAATTATTGTCTGAAAACACTTAGAAGGTAAAAATGAGCATGACAGCATCACTGTGGACTTCCATGTTATATTTAGCATGGAGAACATTTCCTATGTGCAGAAGTGAATTGTTAGTGAATGAAACTCCCTGTGAATACTATTGAATATATAAGTATGAATTCATATAAAATGAGCATTATGTTAAACATCAAATCTGAAGTCTATATTTGTCTAAAACCGACTAAATAATTCCAATATTATATTATCATGCAATATAGAGTATTGCAAATACAAAAAATGAATACTTGGATTAAAAAGCATTACCATTCTTAGTCTTTAAATAATCACTATGATTATTTTTTTTAACAAAACATCACATCAGTGTCTGATTTTGTTTAATATAAATAGTGTGGTTTGCTACCAATAGTGATACAATCTTTTTATTCTTCTTTTCCTTCTTAAAGACCAGTGAAAATATTTTGATAATTGGAAAAAATAATTAAAAGTACAATCTAAAAAGTTACCTCATGAGCAAAAACAGATTATTATTGATATCAGATGTGGCCCGCGGACCGCGGGTTTGAGACCTTAATATTTTCTGTGCATATAAAGCAGACGGACGTATTTCATGATTGCATTCACAGAATAACAGATGGTTACATTACCCTCTCAGGACATCGGTCCCTCTCCTCTTGGCTCTCCCGGCTTTGCTGTCCGGTTGTCGGGTCACCACCTCGCTGTCGGCGACATCCAGCTCCTCTGACGCCCCTGCAGGCGCGGCGCTGAGCCACAGCAGGGCCAGCAGAGCCACGGCCAACTGCAGCGGCCGCTTCTCACGGTGACAGTCCGGCATATCCAACAGTCCAAGTCCAGCGGGCAGCGGAAGGCAGAAAGTTGGCTTTTGTACCCGCAGTGGAGCCAAAGCTGCAAAACAGGTCAGAGGCATTGGAGAAAAAGGCGCAAAAGATGCTGCGCAAAGTGGGAAAACTCTCAGATATATGGGAGTTTGACTCGATTCCAGAAAGTTTTAAGTCGCAAAATACTAAGGTGGAAATGTGCGCGGCACAGAGTGAAGAAGTGCAGCGGGGATGATTTTACCTTGTCTCCTGAGCAGGAGATTTGCCGACGAAGGACAGACTTGACTCTCAGCCTCAGGTACTGCTGGATACACAGGAAAACTGCGAAGGAGAATTGGGGGAAAATCAACTTCAAAAAAAGCTGAACTCAAACCTGATCTGCTATAAATGAATACGCATTGTAAAGTGTGGAAGTCCACATCGAGCTGCCTGTTGACTTTTGCACAGTGAAGTCAGAAGAGCTGATGCATTCCAGAGGATGACAAAGGCAACACTCACTGCGTCTCTGCCTCACACCACAGCCTTCTTCCTCATCCCTGCTGCACTCAACTTTCTCCTCAACTTTTTCCTCCCATTCTTCCGCTGCTCTCGCGATACAAAAGCCTGCGTGCAAAAACAAAAAAATGCACAAGCCAGGACTATTAACTCCTGCGATAATACAATATGGTGCAGGAAGTCCAGAAGTGAGGAGAGGAGGGGGCGAGGGGTGTTTAACTTCGAGACATACGTATATCACGAAGAAGAACTTGATGATAACGTGTTTACAGAATAAGAGAAAAACAAGAGGGAAGAAAAAAATGAAGAAATAAAAAAAGATGAGAAAGGAAAGGAAAAATAAACGGGAATATAAAAGTAAATGAAGGAAAAAAGATCAACTGGTAAAGAAATACTGAGGAAAAATGACAGAAAAGAAGAGGAGAATAAAAAATAAATTAAAGGAAAATGGTGTAGAAATAATAGGAGTAAAGAATAAATACTAGAAGTTGAAGACAAAGCAGAAGACAAGAAGGAAGAGAAGTGAATAAGAAGTAGAGGAAGAAATGAAAAAGAGATGATAAAGTCTAGGGAGAAATAGAAGAAAAAGCAAAGAAATAAAAACTATAAAGTATAAATATTTTCCTTAATGGAGTTCACAGTTTTTACACTTCATAAAAGTTTAGGAGAAAAGTACAACAAATGTTGAGACATACAAACAAAGTTTACAGTATTTTTGTTTGCTTTTTAAAAAAACAAACACCTGTTCATCTGAATGGAGTCTGGAGTGTTTCCGTCTCCTCCTGATGATTTTCTATCGTCCAGCTGAATCATTTGCTCTGATTTGAAATGCGTCTTATAAATATTTACACATCACATACTGTGTTTTCAGGAATTTGGTCCGGTGCAGTGATAGTTTTCACACACACTGATTCATGTCTGCAGCCACACCCAGCAAACACAGACCTGGCTCCTCTCCCTCCTCTGCTCTATCAGTCAAACACCCAGAGACCCCTTCCTCACCCCCGCCCTCACCCTCCCACGCCTTTTTATTCCTCCACCACTTCAGATGTTTTATAATCCACACTGTCCTTCACACAGGTTTAAAGGCAGCCGTGTGTCATTACATCATAAAAGTCTTATACTGTAGAGTCTCACTGTTCAACAGCGCAGCAACACAGTACACTGGGTCAGAACTCATTTAAGATGAAATAACTGGGGTTTTTGGTTTATTATACTTTCAAACTTTTAACCAGGAATGTCTGATATTAGCATATTATGTAATATCTGTAATAATTGTAATCACTTTTTCCCCGATAATGAAAACCTGACGCAATGCGTGGGTTCGGCCAAATGATGTGTGCCCTAAAAATAGTTTTAGGGATAAACGGATGTATATTAAAGCAAAAGTCACTAGATGGCAGCATTGCAGCTCATTTAATTAATCTCATACTCATAAAATTTTTTGTACAGATAAATAAATACATATTACCAGGCCTATATCGGTATCGCTTGATACTGGAATCAGAAATTAAGTGTTTAGACAATATCGGCAAAAAGTTAATATTGGAGATCCCTATTTTTAACTAGGAGCTAGAAAAAAAGTCTGACCATCCCTGCCAGAGGTCCACAAACATTTTTCATAGAAATGCCCTCCCGCAAGAACAGTGCACCCCCCACAACAACAAATTACAAAAAAAAACTTACACTAAATACTTTTATTTAACTGCTACTATATAAAAAGCTGATGTTAAGTGTTAGCACAACAAATGTTATGGGACTTCCATTCATTTGGCAGTACATTTTAAATAAATATGTGCTATACAATACTTTTGATTTGATTATTGGTGATTAGTAGCATGACTTTCTGGGATTAATTAAAAGCTTTAATCGTTGACCAGCATTAATTTTTTTTCCGTCCCACAGACGTTTGATTGAGATTGTCCCCTGCACACAGTAACTGCAGTGAGACTTTCTCACACTGTGTGTTGTCTTTGGCTCCAGCAGGCGCGGTTCATTTCCTTTTGTCTTCTCCAGCCCGACGGCTGCCAATATTCATGCAAAATATTTCAAGAAAATGAGCTGCAGCAGAAATGAGCCCCCGCCGACCTCCCCTCCCTCTCTGTCTTTCCATACGTGTGACTTTAGGATAATGTAACGTCAGAACTGTATCAACTGTTTGGCCTCGGCTGTCTTTGATCACATATGGTCTCCTTCACTGAAGACCACTGCACATACACACAACCACAGAACGACTCAGAGAAATCCCCTCTGCCTCCAAATGGATCACTTTTCTACCCCGGCGCTGCATGAACTCATTTCCCTCTTCGACTGCAAAAAAGTGATTATGCAGAAAAAGTGAGCAGAGTATTTCAGGTCATGATTCAGGTTCTAACAGCTCCCTGTCGCAGTGGGAACGCAACTATGAAGAGGAGGTGGAGTCCAGGTGGACTGTGTGGGTCCTGTCCTAGTGTCCTAAAGTATTAACCCTCTATGTTTGGCCCAGACTTTACCTCCAACATGTTGTTGGATTAATTACAAATACAATACAAGGTTTGAACCAATCTCAGTTGCCTCATGACAAGCACGGCAATAAAAATGATACACACACTCCAGCCCTGTAGGTGGCAGTGTAAAATAAGATTTAGTTTGCAACCAGCTTTTAAAGTTGCCATTTTTTAGTGTAATCATTTCAGCAGATCATCCTCTCACTTCAGCCCTCCTCTGTTACACCACCCATCTCCAGGTCCTCATCTGTTGCAGCAGAATGGATGGTATTTTTGGCCTCAGCTACTCACTCAGGCTGGAATTGCCCTCCACTTATCTCTACGCCACGTGGGATTTATACAGAGTCATTGTCTCCACACAAATCTGACCATCTTAGGGATGGAAAACAGTCCCAGGTTTTCTACCACCATCTGCAAACACTAAGCACAGACGTCGACATCTCTTAGCACCACAAAGAACGGTGTGTGTGTACTATATGCTCACTACTACTACTAAAGTGAAGTTAAAGCTAAAGTTAGAATCACTGCACACTATTGAGTATTTTATAAATAATATATTATAGGAGCTTTAATGGGGACAGGACTTATAAAACCACATACTGAGGTACTGTACATGTACACTGTATGAGGCTGTACCTGAAATGGCTGTCACCTGTTGTTGTGTTGGACTTTCTTATAAAGTTAGGATTTTTTTTACTGAATCCCAAAAGCAAATAATCTGAATAAAATCAGAAGTACTGATGACAGGAAATGTCATAACCCTAAAGTTTTACAACTGTGGTTATTGGCTATTTTAATCATGTTAGTGGAAGTTGTGGCAGTATGTGGTATGTTTCATGTGCTGCTAAAGAGGCCCAGGGCAGCAGGCACTACAAGCAGAGAGTTCTGCATGACAAAGACCCACTGAATCATAGCTCATGGTGTTAGCAAAGATCCAAGTTTTGATCTCAAGCTCAGCATGAAATCCTGGAGAGACGTGTGAGTTGCCGGCCAAAGCATGAGGGAATGGCAGAGGAATGGAGCATGAGTGGAGACGAACCTTAGAGCAGCAGTCGACTCTTGATGTTTGGATTCAAGTCCTCCACACAGCTCTGCTGCCTGGAAGTCCTGGAATCCCCGACCTTCATGGAGTGCCACCACTCCACGGACAGGGAGCAGGTTACAAACATTTACAAGGAAGACATTCAGACAAGTGGCAGATAAGTGTAGGGACCAGCTGAACACAAATGGTAAACACACACACAGATGTACACAAAGCTAATGGAATGAAGTGAAGACAACCTAAACAGAACTATTACGGAGCATGGAAAGATGATGAAGAAGAGAAGCCTTGGGGTATGTCTGAGGACAGTGTACTGCGGTTGTGTGTATTTGTGGGGACATTTTTGGCAAAGACACTAATGTTGTGGGGACATATTTTTCCTTGTGGGAATATATTGTAAATCCCCTCTGAGTAAGAATGTATTTTTAGTTTCAAAATGAAGTTTGGGTTAAAATCAGGGTCAGATTAGGATTAGGGAATTCATTTGTAATAGGTAAAGTTAGGGTAATGAAGTAGATGTGTGTGTGTGTGTGTGTTTGGTGTTTCCGCTCACAATGGCTAGTGAACGGCCAACAGTCCACACACCCATCAGGGCTTCAGGGACAAGTCAGGATGCTGAGATGGGGTAGAAAGGCTGAGCCCTAAGAGTACAGGGAAGGACAAGCTGGAGCAAAGTTCTCCTGTTAGTGAGGTCATCTTGGTGGAGGTTACTCACACACACACACACACACCCCCTCATCTTTTCGGCACTGACTTCGGCCAACAGAAACTCAGTGCATTCTCTTTAAACAGAAACTCTTGGCTGGCTCCTCTCCTCAGCATGTCCTCACTGGTTCCTGACTTGTGAAAAAAAGACAAAAAAAAATGCAGCAAAAAGACGATTTTTAGATTTTTTTTTTTCTATATTGTTTTTTACAATCCTAACTTGCCTCGTGTCTTTCTTCCCCTCTGCTCTTTCCGCAGGAACATACATGTAGATTGCAGCATGTCAGAAACGGTCGCAGCTCAGCCAGTGGTCAGGTCTTGCTTTGTTTCCTCCCAGATTTGAACTGTGTGTGACTCTGATAACATTCAAACGAGAAACAATTTCACGCTCTTGTACTCTGGCCTTTTTCTCCCCTGAGCTCTAATTGTTACAATAAGACCCTTCAAGGTCAAGAACTGCTTTGTCATACATTAAAATCTCTGCTGGCATGAGGGAGAGAAAAAGAGGGAGGGAGGGAGAGGCAGAGAGAGAGAGAGAGGGGGGGAGGGAGAGAGAGAGAGTTTTCTAAGCCAAAGCCCTCAGGCTCGGCAGCACCAAAGATTATTCTTATAAAAGAATTCAGAGTTCAACTCTGGATCTGGACCAGAGCCACAGAACTTTAAGGACGAGCGTAATCATTTCCTATGTTTCCTGTCATGTCACTGACTGACTACATGGAATGTACACACATTTGGTGACAAATGCAGTACATACACTGAAGGGGTGTAGTTAATTGTGTACAGGCTCTGCTAATTAGCCCTACTGTTTGCCCAGAAAGCTTCAAACCTCTGTTTTATTGTTGCTCTGGAAGAAGGAGCTGATGTGTAGTCGTGTCTGTGTTTTATTAGTCGTGTGGTTTAATTACAGTAGATCATTGACTGTGAGTTACAGCTGCACACAGTGGCACGCTCATGGAAGCTACTATTGATAGTAATTACTCAGTGCTCCATATTGACTGTCATTTACATTTACACTTAATTTAAAATCATTAAAATAAAACCTGGCACCTGAAATCAACAGTTCAAAAGCCTCACGCCGTAAGCATCATTATTTTAATGATATCTTTGCTGCTGCCACAGCACAATTTTACTTTAGTAGCACTCAAAGTCACCGAACACTAAAACAAGATACAGCATGTAATAACTAGGGCTGGGCAGGTTAATGCCTTACCATGGTGCAATTATAACAATGAATTAATGCTAACAAATCTTTCGTGCACATTAATACAGTTCATTATTCTTACTCGTTTATTGGTGTAATAATACCAATAAGTAAGATGTGAATATAAATTTACATTGTAGTATCATATTCATTATTATTATTAATATTATGATTGTTACATACCTACACAAACAGTGAGTCACCAGGAAGAAGGGCCTGTTGATTTCAACCAATGAGAGCATCTGGGGCGAGACATAGATTGTTGCAGCGCTCACATGAACCACAGCAGAAAACAACTGGCAGGGGAAAAAAAACATTTTAATTTTAATCTTCTCCAGATGTTGAAGTAAATAGAACCAACACTTTTGTAATACAATACAATAGAATACAATACACATAAATGCAGTACTCACTGTTGATAACAGTAAATCATCTTATAAAGCACTGATTTTTGTTTGAAATGCTTTCAAACTCAATGTTATTGTTATCCTATATTTGTTTTTAATAATATTGTCAAGAACAGTATTATTAAAAACAACACATTTAAAGGCTGAGTTTCACCTCGGATGAACAGAAAGTGATCATCATCACCATCACCATCACCATCATTCCACAGCCTCCTGCTTTCTAGTAAACAATGTCATTTAAACGGTGTAGAACTATTTCCATGTTTTAATAAACCATAACTTTAATATAAAATTCCACTGAATCCAAACAGTCACAGTAACAAGCACCAATAATCTGTCTTGGCCGAGGTTCCACACAGAAATGCTAACACTGGAACACTGCATGAGCTGCCAGCTGCTGCTTGGACATTAATGATTGGTCAAAGGTTAACTGGTGACCTCACAGCTTTGACAGCATGTGATCATCAGCAGGCCTTACGAATGTAAAAAAAATGGCATCACACACAAGGTCATTGTTGATCTTGGTAAGTAGTTTTGGGCGAGGTCTGTGTGACTCAGAGAAAATCTTGAGGGATGTAATAGAGGCAAGAAAAAGTCTGAAATCGTTTAACAAAGAACAGTTCATTTCACAGGTACGATAGTGTTAAAAGGCGATTATATTTGGCCGTTAGCAGAGAACGGGGGTCTTTGGTCTGTGTTTGTTTACTGACTGTATCAGATAACGTGCTGAATGTTTGTAGAAAAAAAAGCAGAGATAACATATCCAGCACGCTCATTTCCTGTTCTTTGTAACTTGCCAAAGCTGCCTGCGTTTTGACACCCCGAAAGCCAGTCCTGTGATTACATCTGACAGAATTATCTGCAGAGATAGGCTTCAAGTGTTGTTTTTCCTGAGATATCCTCACAGCATTTATCTTTTTTTGTCAGCCCTTAGCAGAGCTCCGACTTTCCCCCAGCATGAGCTGCCACAGAGGTTCCCAGCTGATCTCAGCTGAACAAGCTGCATTTAGGGTAATTAATGTGGGCGAGACCCTGCAAGCTGCTCTCAGAGGATGACGAGGGCCACGGCTTGAACACAGTTAACAGCATACTTTCAGCACACTGTCATTCTGTACTGCAGCAGAAATCTGCAAGTGACAGGCTGCTGAAAACTGGGGAAAAAACCTTCACTGCCATTACATTAAACTTTTTTTTTTATTATCGATACTTAAAAAACTGTTTGAAAAAAAAGTCATGCTGGAGAAATTAGTTTGGTCATATATTAATTTGCCATTTTACGAGAAATTATGTCAAGAACCCCTACAGGACAACACCATCAAACTCTGAGCCCCTACTGTGAGTGCATTCATGGCGAGTCACGACAACATATTAATAAACTGTCAATGGTTTAAACATGCTGAAGGCGATGCAAGTTTTGCAAAGATTAAATAGCACCATCTACTGGCCAAAGGAAAATGTTGTACATCTCAATTTTCTTTTCTCATAGTTTGATGATTGTTTCAAAATCTTACAATAAATTCACTGTCATAAACGCCAGGGAAACAAACTGTTTAGTTGTGTGACTTGTATATACACAACGGCGTCATCTGGATTTAACTTAGTATAGTTGTGATGTGGTATGCCTTGTTTTAAACATGCAAACAGTAAATATAGTTAGTTTATTTTAAAATGTGACCACACCGTAAACATCTACAGGAGTCAAATGCAAAAATACAGTAAAAATATTGATCCAAAACGTTCAATTCGATTTGTCTTAAATAATATTGAGTACGTTTTCAACGATTTGTTTGCTCGGATGTAATACTCTGAGTAAATACCCACAACATTAATCGACACCGAATAAAGTTTACCGTTTTGTCAGTTTTAATACTCACATATACTCTCTCCATCCTGACCAGCCTGACACAGACGCCGACACTGACTGGCAACAGTACCTAATGTTACATTGTTATTTCATGGTGAAAAACGGTACATTTCAGATTTCGACAACAAAACTTCTGGTTTCCTCTCGTCTTCTCCTCTTCGCGACTCTCTGGAAAAATTAACTTTATTTTTCTTACTTTCGCGCCTTCTAGTTCCGTTTAACGGTCGTCTACCTGGATACTGTGTGCACTTGCGCAGTAAACTGGTCACGTGAAAACAGGTGCCCCAGGAATAAAAAATAAATAACTCTTTCAGGCAAACAGTTGCGACATGCTGTTTACAACCACATGTTCACGGAATGGTCAATTGATCGTATATTTAGCGATCGTACGTTGTACAGAGAGTCAGGTTATTGTACAAATTTGATTGATTGGACGCGGCGCAGCTAGTTGTTATTTACTTTAAACTACGGATTTTATATTCATTCAAATCAATAGTGATAAAACGTTTTGGTGGCAAAAACTGTAAAAGCTACACTTTTACTTCCGGGTTACTGGCACCCTGGATGACCGGCACCCTTATGATACTTCTCATACTGCCTTTCTTGCATGGTAATTCACGTTCTGCCCCAGAAAAGAAAAAAAAAGCTGTGCAAATCCCTCTCATCTGCGCATGTGTATGCAGTTAGTGTGTTATTAGGCACACGTGCGTTGAAGGGGCGTGTCTACCAAGGTATAAAAGAGATCAAATGGCTTATCCTACCTCTGAGTTCACCTTTGGCCACAGTATAAACCTCGGTAAGACTGACGGGGGAGGAGGCGAGGGGAGAAGGTTAGAAGACAAAAGAAGGCAGCACTGGTTGATGTCCACGACGGTTGTTGAAGACGTCCATTCAAAGTCTCCAGACACATTTAACTTTACAAACTCCACTGACAATGACTGACCATCACTGGGGATATGGAAAAGAGAACGGTAGGAGCTGCTGCACACACAACTCCAGGCATTTACCTGTGTTCACCGGGGAGTTAGTACAGATTAGTGTTTGTGCGAATTGTACGTTGCACAGAGGGTCACTCTTCAAACTCTTATCTTTGTTTATTTCGTGTACAATTTTTGTTTGTAAAGAACTATACTGTTTTGTTTTACTCAAACCTTGGTTGTGTATAAAACAGTGTTTGGAAGTCACTGTTTGAAATAACACTATATTAAATGTATGGCCATTAGGGCACTGCAATGGGGACAGAGAGGGTTTTTGTTTGGTTAATTTCATGGTAAATGGTAAATGTTTTTCCAGTCTTGAATACCACTTCACTACGTGTTTAATTGTATGAAACCTTATTGTTCAAACTTAAACTATTAACTGAAGTTCAGAAAATGTCATTTGTCGACCAGCGTCCTTTGTCTGGTGTATTCACTGCCTTTTCCACCTCACCTTCTCTAACCTTATCTCCAAACTGCTCCTCCACCTCACCTTCTCTAACCTTACCTCCAAACTGCTCCACTATAACTGTCCCTCTGATCCTGTCCACTCCCAGGGAAGATCTCGGCATCTTCATCTCCTCCACCTGCAGCCCAGCCTTTTGTCTTTTTGACATATCCACTGTCTCTGAACATTACCTTTTAATGTATATAAATTGTATTTAAGATCTCTTTTTAAAAAAAAAAAAAATCAAGAATCCTGTCTGTTTATGCCTGGCAATGGCATTATCAGTCATCACTCATTTTGATTATTCAATTTGTTTGAAATTTTAGTTTATAATAAGTATTTGATTCAGCCTGAGTAGACATCTGTAATAATGCAGGCTCCTTTTATTCATATGGCGTCCATCATCAAACATTTTTGCAAAGACAATTTCCAGAAGCTGTTTTCTTCTTTGTAGCCCACAGTCATCAAACAGGCTTTTCTGTTCCTCTGTCTTCTGTGCGTTAAGGTCCCTCTGTGTGGCATGAGGACTACCCTGTGGCAAAGGGCAGTCGTCAGTCACCCATTGACATCATACCTAAAAGGGCTCCATATGATCCCAGCCTTGGCCCCATCGCTCTGGACTATAATCTCTGTACATCCATTAACATCTGCAACAATGGACACTCTGTGGTTGTTGAGTTTGATGACACGGATGATCGTTCAGGTAAGATCAGAGTTTGGTTTATAATAAATGACATTTTCATGCATGTTTGCCATAAACCCACGTTAAGATACTGGTGTGTGAAAATGAAATGTTCCCTCCCTTCTGCCAACATTGGTAACTGACCTATGATAACAGGAAAAAGGATTTACTGCCACTCGGTTCTCGACTGAGGTCACAGTTTAAAGACTATCAGTTTGATTTTATGCTACTATAAATCTCTTGGCAAAAGGTTTTCCTTCCACCACAATTCATCAGAAAAGAGGAACAGCCATCTTCGTTCATACTGTGCTTCATACACCATTGGTCATAATTGAAGGCTGCAGATAACAGTTGATTTTGCAAGAAAGTGAATCCAATAGTTACCTGGGTGAGAGTCTGTCTGCAGGACTGGTGATAATTACATGAGCTGTTCTTGGTGTTTATTATGACTGCACTTTTACCGCCTTTTACCACCCAGTCATTACCATGAATGATAAGCTGCTCAGATGAATTGGTTTTCACAGAGCACGAAAGTGGCCCTCAGGATAAATTAATAATAAATGGACAGAGTGAAACCAGGTCTCTCTCATGCTGGTAAAATCTCTGGTCAGTTGGTCATGCTTAGCTGGGACCGAGTTAACAGATCATTCTCTGAGGACAATTGCCCTACTTTGTAATTATTGTCTATCCTGGTATATTCAGTGCAAGCCTATAGCAAGTTTGCTCTGGTGCCCTTCAAAAGAAGCATGCTATTGGAAATGCTGTTAGTAATGTTCTTTACACCCAAGGCCAGTGTTTCAAAAGTGTAGTAATTTACTTACTTGGTGTGAATCCCCCTGGCCTGTTTAGTTGAACACAACACTGAGATTTGCTGTAATTGAAGAAAGACATACACAATCTTCTTTGATTGCTCCAGTAAGTCCAAGTCCATCCAGTACAGTGGTTCTCAATTATTTTCTGTCATGCCCATCCCTTGGGGACAGAAATGTTTTCACCCCGTCCCCCACACCAATTACTTCCCACCATTGTGCAGTGGCCATGACTCGTCCTTCTCGTCTTCTCTGCAGTGATCAGTGGCGGTCCTCTGGAAAATCCCTACAGGTTGAAACAGTTTCATTTTCACTGGGGCGGCAAAGGGTCCGAGGGCTCCGAACACACCGTCGAAGGACACACCTTTGCATCTGAGGTTGGCTGTTTTCTCAGTTACTTCAGTTTTTACTTGTTATCATAAACTATCTGATAGTTTTGAGTGTATTTATATATTTATTATTCTTTTTTTCCTCCCCATCCAGCTTCATTTAGTTCACTGGGATGCTGTCAAGTACAAGTCATTTGGGGAGGCGGCAGCAGCTCCTGATGGCCTTGCTGTCCTGGGAATCTTTTTAGAGGTAAAACTTTCTGTGTGATGTTAATTTTTTTTTAATGCATTCATGAGTTGATTGTGTGTTTGAATTCAGGCAGGTGATGACCACAGATGGCTCCATGCGATTACAGATGTTCTGTACACAGTGAAGTTTAAGGTGGCTGCTGCCGAAACTCTCTGAAAAAAATTCTTTGTGAATGTATTTATTATATTTAACCAAAACAAACGTTTATTTTACAGGGCAGGGCCTCAGATTTCAAAGGTTTCAACCCCAAGTGCCTCCTCCCCAGCAGCCTCCACTACTGGACCTATCCGGGATCACTGACTACACCCCCATTACATGAGAGTGTCATCTGGATTGTCCTGAAGGAGCCAATCGTTGTGTCTGACAAACAGGTGCTGTTCATGTGCTAGAACACATTCCCACAGTAATAGAACAGGATATGGTATAGTTTCTGTTGGCATCCTGAAACTGTATGTGTTAAAAGAAACTTTCTGTTGGCATCCTGAAACTGTATGTGTAGCTGGTTCTAAACCAAAAACTGTCAGACAAACTTGAGGGAGGATGGAGTTTTGCCTGTTTTTTCTCACCAATTCATTCACTTTTGGCTTTTATGTATAGTATGTGCTGCGTTCATATAATGAACAAAGCTGGGAAAGGAAATTCAGTGATTATACTGGTGCGTCAGTTGACTGGTCGGATGTGAAATCCAGCCTTTTCTGGGTTTTCTGAATGGTTGTGTTCTACTTGGCTGTTGGATCCACTGCCTCCTTTTACTACCCAAGTTCAGCATCACTGAATTAGTGCCCAAGGCATTCAGTAGAGCTGAGTGGTGGCTTTAGTCCGGTGCTTTGGTAGTCCCTTAAACCAGGGCTTGGCTGAAGAATGCAGGTCATCCCTTCAATCCTGAGGGATGACCTGTGATGATTATTCAGTAGCCAGCTGACAGGTGTTGTGGTAACTCTTGACAGTCTTTGGATTAAACTTGCACTCTTTGGTGATCGTTTGTTGTTTACTTTCCATTTTTAAAAACACCACTCCACTTGAGAAACCAGGGGTTTTAGACAGGTTTTGTATAAATGGCGATGTCCATGAAAACTTTTTTTTTCTTCCTAACTTAAAGCCCCAGGCTGTAAGCCCTTCATCCCCACCTGCTGGTTTTTCTGATGGCTCGATAAATGCTTGAACTAACACCAACCAGAGAAATTCCAGCGCCCCAAACAACCCAAAACAATTTAGTTGAAACTTGTTGCTAACCAGGTCTTACTTGTGTTTTTTTTTTTCTCTGTGGTTTTCATTGCAAATCAGCAAGTTCAGATCACTTCTGTTCACTGGAGAAGAGGAGGAAGTCAGGATAAACATGGAAAACAACTTCAGGCCTCCACAGCCACTGAGAGGAAGGAGAGTTCGTTCTTCAAATTATTAGTTCATCAATTAATTAATGTAACGTATACGATGTTGAAAGCAAACAGTGATTAAACAGATAATTTGCTTTTCCTCAGGAAACGGATGAATATTGGCAGGGGTAAACAAATACATATGCAATCTATTGTCAGCAGTCGGTTAATATTTTGAAAACATTTACATTTTTGTCAGTGCTGTGTTGTTTGACTTGAAGTACGTTATAACGAGGATTTGGAGGCTCCTTTCTTTTGTAACCTACACATGCTTGAGGTGGGGCAACAAGAAAGAACGAGGTCCAAGGCAGTAAATAAGCAGATCACAGAGTGGGGTGATGTCAGTACTGCCAGTTGTTTGCATACTGGCCTCACAGCACACCGGTGTGTCCGAGCTCTCAGGCTTGGTCTCCTTAAGTGATCCCACATGATCCCTCATTTTGATCCAGCCTGTTGCTGTTGGACTCACGGTGCCCCTAACCCCAAACCTGTCCAATACACCAACACTAACTGCATGTTGTGTTGGATTTGACCTGTATTGACTGGTGTGTCTGCTGCTGTGAGAGGACAGGAAAGGCTCAGATCATCCAGAGCTTAGGACAGTAACATTTATATCCAGCAGGAGCCTCAGATTTAACAATGGCCTCGTCTGACTGCTGAGTTATCTTTTAAAAAAATAACATCCAATGTCAACAAGCTTAGTGTGGGTATATTTAGTTTTGCAGCAGAACTTTGAGTCATGTTTCAATCCATCCAATAAATAACAGAAAGGCCTTGATCTAACTTGGATGTTATGGTAACTTTGTGTAACACTGCTCCTATTTAGTTGAACAGGGGTTTAACAAACACTGACATAATGCATTTTTAGGAAGAGCTTGTTTCTTTTTTGCACTGTAAGCATTACTGTTTTTGGCAACATAAATTAAATGTTATGTGCTGCTGAAAAATGTTTGTGATGCCTTTAAACTTGATAATTATTACAGAATTAATAAAAAAACTAAGTTTTGAACTTCATATTGTTGTAACAGTTCTTCAGCACTAGTAATGCATATTTGTATCTTACCAAAACATTTTACAAAACATTTCACTATTTTAATAGATGCTATGAAAATAATGAAATGTTTAGAAAAATAATATTCATTCCGCGATAGATAATGCTTTTTTCCCCTCAAAGACCCCTTATGAGATCGAATGATTGACAGGTCACGCCCACTCGCCTTCCCCTCGAAGCAGCTTGTACGACTTAAGTGGCTTACATTTCCGTACTACCTCCCGACCATAAATATATTTTAGTGCTGGGTTTCGTAACCACGCGAAACTAAATAAAGTATGACTAGAGTGGTAACGTGTGTCGCAATTTTTGAACAGAATCAAAAGCAAAAATAAAAGAAATATAATACAAAAAGAATAAGTGCTACAGGTTTGAGGTACCCTGTGATTGGTCAGATGTGTATACAATGACGTAGCCTGGTGTGAGCCTTGTTGTCAGGACAAATATTTGCGCGCCAAGACCAGAAGAGTTTGGAAGAAATACTCTTGGCAAAGACGAATAACAGCTAAAAAAAAGAAAAGAAACGAAAAGCTGAGTACAGTACCACTACCGGATACCCCTATCGCAAGCATTAACACTGGCAGAGCTACACGCAAATAAATATCGATGAGAGGAGCTAAGCTGTTCACAGATGTTGTCAAACAGTATCTTGCTAGCAATTTTAATTCCCGAATATTATTAAGGTAAGACATTTCCTTATCGTTTAAAGCTTAGTAAATGTGTTGGTTTAAAGCATATTAAACCTTTGAGTGTTAAAAATTTAAGATGTGCTTTTAAATTCTCTGAATGTGGACATGGTTGCTCAATATGTGCTCTTTCTTTGTTGATTGTATGTTCGGTGCAGTGTGTAGGTTTACGTGTGTGTAAACGCTAAAGGAAGAGACACTGCTTATCAGCACCATTTTGAGTTCTTGTCACTTCATATATTGAATTTTTGAAAAATTCGTTTTATTCAAAATCAATTTGAGTCAAGGTAGACGCAAACTATTGTCGAGGGTATGACCCCCTCCCTCTGGCCCAACACCCAGGATAACTCAGCTATTGTAATGTGTGCGGTTGGTGAACACCAGATGGCAGCATCTCCTTTTAAAACCAGGAAACGCTGTCGTACGTTGGCTTGTACCACATGGTTTTGAAAAGAAAATATAGTGTGTACGTGCGCGCGCGCTTCCTGTGTAATTCAAGATTAAGTTAGGATTGGAATAAATTAGGGTAAGTATTTAGATAATGTTTGTTTCTAACAGGTATGGTCAGGGTCAGAGGTGTGGGAATGGATAATGTTTGTGTAACCTCCTCAGCAATCACACAAAGCTGTGTGTGTGTCTTTAACAAAACCAAATAATGCTTCCAGAATTACATCCTGTAGCTGCAGTTAGACTATGAATACTTGAGAATATCAAGCTCAGACAGAATCAATGCAGTGTACCGAGGCATCAGATAGCAGGCTGTAAAAATAGAGTCAGCCACATGTATTTTTAGCTTCAGCATATCTGTTTGCTTGTTTGTTGTTTTTTGGTTTATTTATTCTTTTCCCAGACACAGCGACATTTGAGTAAAGTGTCAAACACAAACCTTCAGCAAAAAAAGCGGATGTTGGAAGAAAATTATCCTTTGGTTGATATATAATGACACACAGATACACTTTGTCCTTGCCAAAATCACGTTAGACTTAAACTCAAACAATATTTTCTTAAAATGTTGTTGGATGAACATTAGCCAGTGTAAATGAATGATCTTATCTCGTTTTCATGTTTACCTATGACATTTTTCTTACTTAATACATGTGAAGGTAACTCAAAATTCAAAATCATTTGCTTTTGTCACATTTTCATTGAAGAGACTGCCATTTTCTTAGATGCAGCAGTTGTGGGGCAGCAGCTAGTATATCCTTTTAATTAGTTAAAGTAATTAAAGTAAATAAATCAATATAATTCAGTAGTGTGTATTAGTGATCATATGCTGTACTGTACCCATTTAATCATATTGTGCCATAGAGTTACATGCTTTTAATCAGTAGCCCATCATTTAATGGATAATGTATGATCTGTTTATATGAGAAAATATATATTTAGCAATTTCAATGAAACCATGTTTTGTTATGTTGAATCATTTCAGTATCATCATTTGCAACAATATTTTTTTAGCTCGATGTTAATACTTTAATTTTGTTCTAGTCTCTTCAAATTCATTATTTCTGGATAAAGCATTGTCAACACTAGACTGTTTAATAAATATTCATTTTATTTTTATTATTATTATTATTATTTTTATTTTAATGCTCTAATTCATTAGTAAAATGCCCCCAAACAGACCGTAATGGCCTAATGTTGTTAAAAAATAAATTCTGCTTCTCAATTTGATTTAAACACTAGAGGTAAATGGGCTAAAGAAATGGGGGATTTAAATATTTCAAATCAGAGCCTGAGATTCAACACTGTGGATAGCAAAGGGGTCACTGCCATGTGCAGTTGTCATGGCGACACATAGCCCCTGAAACACAAAACACTACTACGACTCAGCAAGCTCGAATCTCCCTGACTTGTCTCTGATCCAACGCCACCTGTCAGAAACTAAAATCATACTGCAAAATGACGTCGCCTGCTCCTCTGCCTAATGGTGACACGTGTTTGAGTATTTATCAATGAACTTTATTTAGCAGCCTTGTCTATTTTAGGTGAACCTGATCTCAGATCATCTCTGATCTTTCATTTAAAACTGCCACTCTACACCTGTCTTTGCCCCCACTGCTGCTGTTTGGTCTTCACCCAGGTTCAGGGTCTGTGTTGTAATTATAGCAACGATGTTCAACAATGTACAGCCTTTACAGCTTATACACAGAATGATATCCTCCTTTTACACAGTAGCCTTGCTTGGCCGAGTGTTCAATAAATCAAGGCCAAATATCTGGAGCTCTGTTCTCCAGTCATAGGGCACACTGCAGGCGGTCTGTTATAATAATTGAATAAAGCAGTGCTGTGCTGCCATGGCAGGGAGGTCATGATCTGTAATTCTACACTTGGCTGTCGACTCACACAGCCTTAACACATTGATCTATTGAGTATTTTTTCTTGGAAACAGTGGCCCCGGCCTTGATGTGTCATTTTTGAGCTGGCCTATTTACGCAGACCTACAGTAAATGTTGATTGAGTTGCTGACATTTAGGATGATAGGTATGACAGGCTCATCCTGAACCCTGACATCTGAGCCCTGACATGTCTTTAGTGGGCATCAGACACCTACACAGCCCAGTCAGTGACCCTTAAATCCACCATGAGTCAATATGACATTGCGTTGACTGTTTATACCCTTACACAGTTAAACACTGCATCACATTTTAATCCTTTTTTATTAACATCTTTTCAAAGTCAAGGTCAGAAGACCTTATCTAGCTCCTGACAAACCAATGGATTTTAACCTAAAATTGTTGATTTTTAAGCTGCAGCAGTAGATACTTTTTTAGGATCTCATTGTGATGGTTTGATCCTGTCGTCCAAGGTTTATATTCTCAGTGCATTTTCTTTGCTTTCTGTCCTCCTGACAGTTAACAAGACATCATCTAGATAAAATATTTAATTGTGTTAAATGGACCAAACAGCTGGTATTATGATGAAACTCAGAAGATTCCTGATTTGCTGCTAACGCCTAAAGAAGTGAGACAGAAGGTGTCAAGTAAAGATACGTACTAACATAGAGCTAACATAATCTTAACTCACCTTTGTAGATTACCGAGATATTCCAAGCCAGCTTTGATATGTACACCTCTCATATCTGGATATTCGATTGTGAATATTAAAATAGTAGAGGTGTTACTTTTTCAGGGGCAGCCTGTGGCTGAGTGGTTACAGGAGTGGGCTTGTAATTCAAGAGTTCCTCTATGTAACCTGATTGTTAATCCTATTTATGTAAGTCGCTTGGGATAAAAGCGTCTGCTAAATGCATTAATGTAAATGTAAATGTACTGAGAGGACCGATTTGAATCTCACCCCTGGCAGGACTCTGGTGTGTTGAGCAGGCTCCCAAAACTCCCCCACTTCCCACTGGTGTTTTCCCAGATTGGATAAGTGCGGAAAGTATTTTCCCTTAGTAGATTAATAGAGTGGTTTAAGTGTGTGTCACTAAATCAGTGCTTACATGCTAGATGCTAGCTGTATACACTAATCAATGGCCAGAGA